TTCATGGACCACAGGTTGGGAACCATTCTGTATGGGGACATGGAGGAGGAAGAAGAGATGTGAAACAGCTTCCCTTACCCCCTCTATTTCTCTCTCTCTCTCACTCTCCACTATCCAGGTGCACAGTGCCTGCAAGGAACAGCTGGGGAAGAAGTGCCCTTTGGGGCAGTACAAGGTCTCCATCATCCCCCCCACTGCTCTCAACAGCATTGACTCAGACGGTAAGTAGCAAAAGCAGGTGAGACTGCATAGTACCATTCCACCTAAAACTAGGATGAGTGATGCAACATCTCTTTCCATTTCGATGGAGGGAAGGATTTTGGAGCACGCTCCTGAGGTGTGTGTTGCAGTGTGTTTGCCTCCCCACCCTGTGTCTTCATGGTTCCTCTTCCCCGCCCCACCCTAGGGTTCTGGAAGGCCACCTGCCCCTCTTCCTGCTCCAGTCCACTGCTGGCCTTTGTCAACTCCAAGAGCGGAGACAACCAGGGCGTCAAATTCCTCCGCAAGTTCAAGCAGTTCCTCAACCCAGCACAAGTCTTTGACCTGATGAATGGAGGGCCGCACCTGGGGTGAGTGAGCAAGGGGGACCTGAAACCCACTCCTCTTCCTCCTCTGCTTCCTCTTCTCCTCCTATCCCTCTTTCTCCTCCTCCTCCTCCTCCTTTCCCTCCTCTTCCTCTTCTTTTTTCTCCTTGTCTTCTCTTCCTCCTCCTCCTCTTCCCCCTTTTCCTTTTTCTTCCTCCTCCCCTCTTCTTCTTCTTATCCTCTTCTTCCTCTTCTTCTCCTCCTCTTTCTTCTCCTCTTTCTCTTCTTCCTCTCCTCTTCTTCTTCTTCCTCTTCCTTTCCCCTTTCTCCTCTTCTCTTCTCTCTTCTCTTCTTATCCTCTTCTCTTCTTCCTCTTCCTTCTCTTCTTCCTCCTCCTCTTCCTTCACTTCCTCCTCTTCCTTGTCGTCTTTCTTTCTTCTCCTCTTCTCTTCTTTCTCTTCCTCTTCTTTCCCCTTCTCTCTTCCTCTTCTCTCTTCTCTTTCTTCCCTTCCTCTTTCTCTTCTTCCTCCGCCTCTTCCTCTTCCTTCTCTTCTTCCTCCTCTCTCCTTTCCTTCCCCTTCCTCCTCTCTTCCTCTTCTTTCTTCCTCTTTCCTCTTCTTTCTCTTCCTTCCTTACCTCTTCTCTTCTTCCTCCCTCTCTCCCTTCATCTTCCTCCTCTCCTTTTCCTCTTCCTCCTCTTCCTTTTCCTCCCTCTTCTTTCCTCCTTCTTTCTCTTCCTTTTCCTCTTCTTTCTCTTCCTGCTCCTCTCCCTCCTCTTCCTCCTTCCCAGCCTGGAAGGCTTCTCTTGTGGGCCCTGTCTCTTCAGGGCCTGCTTCCTTCCCCTGATGGACTCCCCTTTCCCTCTTCTCTCCTCCTGCCAGGCTGCGTCTCTTTCAGAAATTCTCCACTTTCCGCATCTTGGTCTGCGGAGGCGACGGCAGCGTCGGATGGGTGCTCTCTGAAATTGATTCCCTGGGGCTCCACAAGCAGGTCTGTTCCAGCTCTTCCTCCCCATGGCATTTGCCCTATTTGGAAATTGGGAATGGGGGTTCCCTTGTATCCCGCTGCCAGATTGCCTATCCATAACGATCCCTCTAACCAAAGTGATACTTTACTTTGCAGCCAGAATGAGAAGAAACAAATCAGAGAAAGCCTCACAATGCTTGGCATAGGTTGACCCTAATATCAGAGGGTCAGATGTGTTATTCTGTGAAAGGTTCATCCTTTATCAGCCTGCTAGCCTTTAAATGCCTCTAAAGTGCCTCCTGGAAGAGTCCATATTGTTGTGCATGTGTGCATGTATGTGTGAGAGGGAGAAACTGGGGACCTAGAAATCGATCTGTCAGCCTTGTTTGGTTTCTCTGCAAGCACATTTCTAGGCAGCTCTTTTTCTGTTGGCCCAATTGACCTTCTCCTCCTCCTTGCCCCCTTTTTGCTCTGGCAGTGCCAGCTTGGTGTGTTGCCCTTGGGGACGGGGAACGACTTGGCCCGGGTCCTGGGATGGGGCAGCCTGTGCGACGACGACACGCAACTGCTGCAGGTTCTGGAGAAGCTGGAGCGAGCCACCACCAAAATGCTGGACAGGTGAGCTCCAAAGGGGCCCCTGATAGTCTTTGGATGGAAACAGAAGGGAGATCCCCAGCGGCTTCTGTATCAGGGAATACATGTCAGGATTTAACCCAGACTTTCAAGGCACTCTCCATGGTCTGATTCCTGGGTTGAGTGCCTATATCAAAGAGAGGAGTAATATTGTCACCAAACGTAAAGTCCAATAGTCAGATCTTCTTAGAGTATTCTCCCGTAGTCTTCCAGTTTCCTCCCCCAACTCTTCCCCATTCATCTTCATAATTATTATCAAATCATTTAATCCTTTAACTACTTTTCATTATTACATGATCCGTTTTTTTAAAAATCATTTAATCTGTTAGTAAATTAGTACTGGAGGCCCCAGTAGCAAAGTGGGTTAAAGCGCTGAGCTGCTGAGCTTGTTGACTGAAAGGTTGCAGATTCGATTCCGGGGAGCGGCGTGAGCTTCCGCTGTCAGCCAGACCTAGCAGTTCGAAAACACAAAAAAAACCAAAACAAATTATAGAGAGACCGTCCGCTCGTCAGCAAGCAAAACGCACAGGAGCTTGGAAGCCAAGAGAAGGTCAGAGGTTTGAATCCAGGGAGCAGGGTGAGCTCCCATCTTCTGCCAACCTAGCAGTTCAAAAACATGCAAATGTGAGCAGATTAATATGAACCGTTTCTGCGGGAAGGTAACGACATTCCATGCAGTCATGCTGGCCACATGACCTTGGAGGTGTCTATGGACAAAGCCGGCTCTTCGGCTTAGAAATGGAGATGAGCACTACACCCCAGAGTCAGACATGACTGGACTTAATGTCAGGGGACAATCTTTACCTAACCTAAATTAGTATTATATAAAGCAATTTTTATTATGTTTCACTATCATCATTTCTTTCATCTTTAAACATACACCAAGTTTGTTCCAGATTTTAAAAATCCAAAAATAGTAAGGGAGTGGGTGGGGGGGAAACCTGTATCAAATATCCAAAGTCTCTTTGATGATTGAGGATGTGGGATAGAAAAGGGAAAAAAGGGATATCTCTCTCTTTATATATATATATATATATATATATACATATATACACACACACACACACACATATATATATATAGAGAGAGAGAGAGGCTCCAGTGGCGCAGCAGGTTAAACCACTGAGCTCTGCTGCACTTGGTGACCGAAAGGTGGACAGTTCGAATCCAGGGAGCCACCTGAGCTCCCGCTGTCAGCCCCAGCTTCTGCCAACCTAGCAGTTCGAAAACATGCAAATGTGAGTAGATCAATGGGTACTCCTCCAGAGGGAAGGTAATGGCGTTCCAAGCAGTGATGCTGGCCACATGACCTTGCAGGTGTCTATGGACAACACCTGAACATCTGAACATTAGGAAGAACTTCCTGGCTGTGAGAGCCGTTCAGCAGTGGAACTCTCTGCCCCGAAGTGTGGTGGAGGCTCCTTCTTTGGAAGCTTTTAAACTGTCAGGGGTGCTTTGAATGCAATATTCCTGCTTCTTGGCAGGGGGTTGGACTGGATGGCCCATGAAGTCTCTTCCAACTCTACGATTCTATGATTCTGTGGCTTAGAAATGGAGATGAGCACCTCCCCCCAGAGCTGGACTTGACTACACTTTATTTCAAGGAGAAACCTTTACTCACTCTCTCTCTCTCTCCCCTTCTCTATAATAATAATAATTATTATTATTATTGTTATTATTATTATCTTCATCATCATCTTTATTAATGCCCCCACCAACTCCCCAATGAGGACTCAGGGAGGCTAACATGAGGCCAAGCCCAAAAATAATACAACAAAATAATATAAAACCTCCTTAAGTCTCCGATAAGGCTGAGAAAGGCGGTATACAAGTATAGTAAATAAATAAATAAAATATAGAAAACAATAGAAACAGGGGAGCAGTGGGGTTTTGGGCTTCTTTGGGGTGGGGGAGAGTGCATCGTGTAAACAAACTGTAGATGGAAACTAACAAAAAGGGTTATATATGGTGTTTTTAGTCAACAAACCCTGTTGTAACCATTCTTCCTGAAATTTTTGAATGTTTGCTTGGTGTACAGCTAAAGTTAATTTGTCCATTTTGGTTATCTCAAAAACTTTTGTAACCCAATTTGGGACAGGTCTTGTAGAGTTAACCACTTCACTTTGACAGCCTCACTGCATCTCTAAAGGCTCAAGTGACGTTTGAAGCTACTGCAAAGATAAAAATGTATAAGTGAACATTCTTATTCAGTGGGACATTGTGCCACGGGATCCCGGCTAGTAGCTTTATGGGGTGCTAAGCCATACAGTGGGAGTCCCCGGTGGCGCAGTGGGTTAAAGCACTGAGCTGCTGAGCTTGTTGATCGAAAGGTCGCAGAGCTTCCGCTGTCAGCCCTAGCTTCTGCCAACCTAGCAGTTCGAAAACATGCAAAATGTGAGTAGATCAATAGGTACCGCTCTGGCGGGAAGGTAACGGCGCTCCATGCAGTCATGCTGGCCACATGACCTTGGAGGTGTCTACGGACAATGCTGGCTCTTCGGCTTAGAAATGGAGATGAGCACCACACCCCAGAGTCAGACATGACTGGACTTAATGTCAGGGGACTACCTTTACCTTTTAAGCCATACAGTGCGGATGACAAGACTCCTCAGCTGGGATCTTGCACTAAAGATGGGACACCGGGCCCCTTTCCCAATGCCCGCCTGCCTGCCTTCAGTGGGAGAGGGAGTTGAAGGTCATAAGCAACCCATATCCTTGAAACCTCCCCCTCCTTCACTTTACAGGTGGAGTGTCCTGACCTACGAAGCCCCCAAACAGTCCCCGCCAGCCATCAAAGAAGAGGAGAACGAGGACTCCAACATGCAGGTGCAGATCACCCACAAAAGCCAGTTAATTCGGGGAGAGGAGGGGTTTCCGGAGAGCCAAGATCTCATCTTCCCTGCTCTAGAGCAATATCTCTTCTTCCTGTCATTCTGCATTACTGCACTTTCTTCTCTTTCTAGGCTCACATTTCCCAATATGCCGATTCAGTGGCCCTCCATTTGGCCAAGATTTTGGAGTCGGACAAACACTCGGTGGTGATTTCTTCTGCAAAGTAAGAGGCACTGCTTTGACTTGGTTCATCCTTTAACTCTTTATGTATGTATGTATGTATGTATGTATGTATTTATTTATCGTGTCAGGAGCGAACCAAAACAGTTGTATTGCATTAAAAAAACAAACAAACAAAACACGAAGTTTGCAGATTTCGTATTCTATTCAATGTCCTTTGACCAGTATCTGGCCACTTGGAGTGCCTCTGGTGTTGCTGCAAGAAGGTCCTCAATTGTGCATGTGGCAGGGCTCAGGTTGCATTGCAGTAGTTGGTCTGTGGTTTGCTCTTCTCCACACTCATATGTCGTGGATTCCACTTTGTAGCCCCATTTCTTAAGGTTGGCTCTGTATCTCGTGGTGCCAGTCTGTTCAGCGCCTTCCAAGTTGCCCAGTTTTCTGTGTGCCCAGGGGGGAGTCTCTTATTTGGTACCAGCCATTGATTGAGGTTCTGGGTTTGAGCCTGCCACTTTTGGACTCTCGCTTGCTGAGGTGTTCCAGAGAGTGTCTCTGTAGATCTTAGAAAACTATTTCTTGATTTAAGTTGACGTGCTGGCTGATACCCAAACAGGGGATGAGCTGGAGATGTCTCTGCCTTGGTCCTTTCACTATTGGCTGCTACTTCCTGGTGGATGTCAGGTGGTGCAATACTGGCTAAGCAGTGTAATTTCTCCAGTGGTGTAGGGCGCAGACACCCCGTGATAATGCGGCATGTCTCATTAAGAGCCACATCCACTGTTTTAGTGTGGTGAGATGTGTTCCACACTGGACATGCGTACTCAGCAGCAGAGTAGCATAGCGCAAGGGCAGATGTCTTCACTGTATCTGAAGACCAGAAGTGACTTGCTTTAACTCTTATCCTACCTTTCTCCCAACATGAGATCCAGGGCAACCCAAGACCTGATAATACAGACGTTGAGAACAAACAATTAATTTAATTATTTATCAAAACACAGATAACTTAAAACAGTACAAGCGTGTCTTAAAAGCAAAGCAACAAATATGAAAAGACAGCACACAGATCCCATTTTTAAGAAAGTACTTGGTTTAGGTACAAAGGTCTTTACCAGAGAGCAAAAGTGTCGCCATAGCTTTGCGTGAGAGGGTTTCCATGTCATTCCAGCACAGTATGCTTGGAAGCGTGGGCTTCATTTGAGGGGAGCGATTCATTTATTTGGGCTTCAAGGAGGTTGTCTGCCAAATACGGCTTCAGTCTGTTGGGGCAAGTGGGCTTGTTAACAAAAGACCCTCCCCATAAATGTGCAGCAGAGTAACTTATTAGCAGCAGTATAACCCAGCACCAGTAGCCCAAAGTGATAAAAACAAGAAAACACAAAGACCAATGTTGTCTCTTCCTTAGGAGGCTTTTCTTTATAGCAAAATAATATGGTTGCACTATTTACAAGAACAAGGTTTCTATAACACAAATGAAGTTCTTTATACTTCCTTCTTTGCTTCCACGCTGGGCTTCTTTCTCATGCTTTCTCTCACTGAGCTTCCTCTCACACTGAACTTACACAGGAACTTCACACAGTAGTATTTTACACACAGCAGCCTTCACACTGGAGCTTTACACACAAGGCCTTCAATCTGGGGCTTCTCTCACCAAAGCTTCTCTCACCAGGACTTCTCACACTGAGGTCTACCTCACAATGAGGCGTACTAACACTGAAGAAGTGACAGACTTTGTAATTCTGGGTGCAAAGATTACTGCAGATGCAGACTGCAGCCAGGAAATCAGGAGATGCTTACTTCTTGGGAGGAAGGGGATGACTAACCTTGATAAGATAGTGAAGAGTAGACACATCACACTGGCAATGAAGATCCACATAGTTAAAGCAATGGTATTCCCCATAGTCACCTATGGATTTGAGAGCTGGACCATAGGGAAAGCTGAGCGAAGGAAGATAGATGCTTTTGAACTGTGGTGTTGGAGGAAAGTTCTGAGAGTGCCTTGGACTGCGAGAAGATCCAACCAGTCCATACTTCAGGAAATAAAGTCCGACTGCTCATTGGAGAAGGATATTAGAGGCAAAGATGAAGTACTTTGGCCACAAAATGAGAAGAAAGGAAAGCTTAGAGAAAACAATGATGCTGGGGAAAATGGAAGGAAAAAGGAAGAGGGCCGACCAAGGGCAAGATGGATGGATGGCATCCTTGAAGTGACTGGCTTGACCTTGAAGGAGCTGGGGGTGGTGACAGCCGACAGGGAGCTCTGGCGTGGGCTGGTCCATGAGGTCACGAAGAGTCGGAGACAACTGAACGAATGAACAACAACACTGAGGCATTCTCATACTAAGGCAAACTAACACTGGAGCCTTTTCATACTGAGGCCTTCTCATACTGAGGCTTCTCTTCACACTGAGGCCTCTTACAGACTGAGGCCTACTAAGCTACAGGCACACCTGCTTATATTGAACTGCAGCTTTTGCTGAGTCATTGCATCCCTATAACCCTTTCAGTGCTTGACTCACATTTTTGTAAATAGAAATACCTAGTTAATTTTTAATATTTCTGACAGTCGTCCTCCTTTCATAGGTTCCTCTGTGGGACGGTTAATGACTTTGTGGCCGACGTCGGCAAAGCATACGAGCGGACGGCTGACAGCAAGCAAGAGGCGGACACCATGGCGCGGAAGGCATGTTTGGGCACATCAGGGATGGGATTTGCATGTTGGGTGCCACCAGGGTCTGTGGATTGAATGCCAAGACTGCTGGGATGGCCTTCCCTGAGAGAGAGTTGCATCCAAGTCTTTTCTGTATCCTTTCCCCCCCACCCAGTGTGCCATGCTCAATGAGAAACTGGACTCTCTGGTCCGGGAGCTGAATGAAGAGTCCCAGGCCTCTGTGCTCCCCAAAAGCGCCCCTCCGCCCTCCGCCCTGCCCAGCCCAGATGCAACAGACAATGGCGGCAAGGAGGGCCCCTTCCACCCAAGCCCTGTGCCCAGGATCTTCAAGTCCAAGGAGCAGCTCATGCTCAGAGCCAACAGCCTCAAGAAGGCCCTACGGCAGATCATTGAACAGGCAGAGAAAGGTGAGAGGGACATTATGGGGCAGCGAGCAGCTTGGACTACAACTCCCAGAATCCCCACTTCTAGGATGGCCAACTCTGGGAGCTGTGGTCCCCAAGAAGCATGAGTCCATTTAGCAAAGCTATTTGGCATCAGTTTGGCAGGAAACCAGGCTCTATGCAAGGCAGGGGGTGCAGGGCATTGGTTTGGGAGCCCCTCCCCAAAAAAGGCTTCAGAGGGGCAAATATGGGGGGACTTGATGATAGGTAGGGACTGCAACATAGGAGGGACACTCTCCTCTGTCAGCCCCATTGCTAAAGCACGCCAAAGAGAGGCCCACCTGGTGCCTGCCTTGTTTCATTCTGCAAAAGTCCTCCTATTTGGCCAGGCTGTGAATGCCTCAAAATACAGGTAAGCTGTTTATGGGGCTTTGAATTATAAATTATAAGTTTTAGCCTGGGGAGAGTTCTGTCCCTTTTCTGTGAACTACTGCAATGCACTGCAGAGCATGGGCTTCTTTAAAAGCTAAACCCGCCTTCTCCTGTGCCCTCCTCCTCCTCCTCTATAGCTGTGGATGAGCAGAACAAGCAAACCCAAGCTTATCGGAGCATCTCTGCAGCTGGCAAGAAGGACAGCAACGAGGATTTCAACAAAGAGACAGAGAAACTCAGTAAGATCCTCAGACTTGATGTTTGTTTGTGAGGAAGCAGGTAAAGGTGTCCATACCTTCCTTTGCAAGAAGGACCAGCGGCTTTAAATGGGGTTTAGACAAATGTGGAGAGCTTTTGGATGGCTTCAACAAGGTGCTGAATATATTTGGGTGCCAAGGTTCAGTGCCTTGGAGAGCTCTGACAAAATCTAAGTTGAGATCTGAAGTTTAGGCCAGAGGTTTAGCACAGCTGATAAATCATCAGCAATTATAAGATCTGTCAACCAAAAGGTTGCAAGTTCAAAGCCTCAAGTTGGTGTGAGCTGCCAACTGTCAGCCTAGCTCATTGTTTACCTAAGCAGTTCGAAAACAGCTTTAGCTATGATTAGAGAAATTAGGTACCACTAAAAAGCAGGGGAGGTGTTTTACGACGCCATAAAGAAAGAAGGTCAGAAAATGCTGGGTGACCAAAAGGAAGGAGGAAGTCCTGACGGCTCTTCGGGTCAATCAGGATAAAGCAACAGCACTCCCTGGACTCAAGCCCAACCTTCCATGGCACCAAAAACAGCTGAAACAAACAGCTGAAACAAACTCCTTCTGTTCTGTTCTCTCTGTCTGTGTATTGTCTATAAAAGAGGCAATGGATGTTTGCTGTGTATATGTGCTGTGATCCGCCCTGAGTCCCCTTTGGGGTGAGAAGGGCGGAATATAAATAAATAAAGTATTATTATTATTATTATTATTATTATTATTGTTATTATTAAGTAAATGTACATCCCTCTGAAATGGGAAAAGCTAGGCACCCTGAACCACAGTGGCTGTCTGCCTGCGTGCCTGCCTGTCTGTTTGTCTGTCTTTCCATCCACCCATCCATCTACCATCTATTCCCTCTGAGGCAATATGGTAATATATAGCAGTTGCTGGTGGTCCTGAGAGGGATAACTAATAATCTTCTTGTTGGGTTTTATCCCTGGACTACACAAGTCTCTTGTGTCATCAAGTTTCCAGACCTCAGTGAGTAGCTAGACTAGAGATAGGATTAGGCTGAGGGATTCCTCCCCCGACATTCCTATGCATGTTTTCCCAGAAAGGGCTTTGTCTTTACTCTTCCTCCCAGCCACCGTCCTCCCCCTTTGATGATGTAGCAATGGATTCTCTGTGAGGGAACTTCCTTTTTAAAGGTATTTTTGTTGCCATGTGGCCACTCCCCACCATTGTCTCTTCTGCCTTTTCTTCCTTCCAATGAGGATGCATTTTGCCTCTTTCTTTAGGCAAAATGTAGCTGCATGGATTTTTTACTTTTTACCATTTTACTTCTTTAGAAGATGAGACTTAGTTAGTCAGTCCAAGACCTTTTCTAGCTAGAATGTATTTCTTTTACTTCAAGAAATATGTTTGAACCTGAAGTTCTGACTCTGCAATACAGTGCCATCTTAAGGAATAGAAGCTTATCCCCCTACATTGTATGTTAGTTTCCGCTGGTAATAAAGTTTACTTCTAGTACTCTGCTATATTTATGGTTGAATCATCCCAATTGAGCCCCCGGTGGCGCAGTGGGTTAAACCCCTGTGCCAGCAGGACTGAAGACCGACAGGTCGCAGGTTCGAATCCAGGGAGAGGTGGATGAGCTCCCTCTATCAGCTCCAGCTCCTCATGCGGGGACATGAGAGAAGCCTCCCACAAGGATGACAAAACATCAAATCATCCGGGCGTCCCCTGGGCAACGTCCTTGCAGACGGCCAATTCTCTCACACCAGAAGCGACTTGCAGTTTCTCAGGTCGCTCCTGACACGACAAAGAAAAAAAACAACCAATGGAGGGCTATTTTGAGCCTAATAGCTCAGATTCCCAAACACTTCCTGTTTGGCATGTGGAATTCCCATTGAGAGGGCATTCTTCGCTTGGTCCCTGTGGAGGCTTTTAAGCAGAGGCTGGGTGGCCATCTGTTGGGGGTGCATTGATTGTGCTTTTCCTGCCTGGCAGAAGGGGGTTGGACTGGATGGCCCCTTGTGGTCTCCCACAACTCTATGATTCTATGATTATGGGTGATTATTGTGGAGATCCAGCATGACTCTACTGAGGGATGCTCTCTGCCTTTTCTTGCTCCAGAGTCCCGCCGGGACACGGTCATCTCCACCACGTCCTCCATCATCCTGGACAGACCAGAGAGCTTCAGCGCCGTCCATTTTGCAGAGGACCCCAGTGCCATGTGAGTGAGCAAACCATTGCTTCTGTCTCAGCTGTTTGGGAACCAGGAAAAGGGGGGGGGGGTGCTGCCTTGTGCAAAGACAGGAATGGCAAGAGAGAGAGGCAGAGAATGATGGTGTTCTTTTAGATGAGCTTAGCTGAAAGGCAAGAGTGGCTTGTCATCGCTATATGGCTCCCAGAGACCTGACAGTGAAGTACACAGATTTGTGCATGAGGGATAGTTGTATGTCTGGTAATGCATTAATGTACACAGAGTAGCCTATGGATGCACACTGGCTCAATGAGTTAGCATTGTACATGAATGAAAAGTAATGCCCCCATCAATTCAATGACTGCACGTTGCTTAAGTCACATTGACTGACCGTCTGCGCAGGGTTCCATACTTTGCACTTTAACAAAACAACCGTTCAATGCTAAGGCTCCCACCAAAATGAAACTGTAGAGGAGAGTCTACTGAACAAGCCAGTACCTGCCGCATACCAGTACTGTCCTCTGTTGAGGAGTTACGAAGGTGGAGGCATTACTTTTCATTCAACCCTCGTACATTGCAAGCACACAATGAATTGCCAACTACATGCCTTGAGCATTGCTCCATAGACGTTGTGCTGTATTGAAGTTCGGCATGTGTCATGCATAATTTATTATTATTTATTTATTTCGTGCATTTCTATACCGCCCTTCTCAGCCTTCCGGCAACTCGAGGCGGTTTACAAGGCAAGAATTCAATGCCACCAAGGACACAATTACAATATACAATATAAAAACATCAGCAACAATAAAATCAAACATTATAATGAACATACTTCAATCGATATTCATTAAAACAATGTCCAGTTCCGCCATATAGTTATTCCGTTATTATATTTGTTACTCTGTATTTTCAAATACCCGCTCAAAAAGCCATGTCTTAAGATTCTTTTGGAATGATAGGAGCAAGGAAACTGATCTAATCTCCCTAGGAAGGGCATTCCATAGCCGAGGGGCCACCACTGAGAAGGCCCTGTCTCTCGTTCCCGCCAACCGTACTTGTGATGATGGTGGGACCGAGAGCAGGGCCTCTCCAAATGATCTTAAAGTCCTCGCACAATGTCAATCCACAGAGCCAGTGGACGTCCACATGCTATTTTGTGTTCTTTAATGCATTACTAGACATATAACTGTCCCTGATGCATAGCTGTATTTACTCCATGCTCAGGTAGACATGACCATTAAGTGTAGTTCAAAGAAATTCAACTGAATTTTCCTGTGAAAAGGACCAGCGGCTTTGAATGGGGCTTTGAATGGGGTTTAGACAAATGTGGAGATACGTGTTTTGGATGGCTTCAACAAGGTGATGAATATATTTGGGTGCCAAGGTTCAGTGCCTTGAAGAACTCTGACAAAATCTAAGTTGAGATCTGAAGTTTAGCCCGGAGGTTTAGCACAGCTGATAAATCATCAGCAATTATAAGATCTGTCAACCAAAAGGTTGCAAGTTTAAAGCCTCAAGTTGGCGTGAGCTGCCAACTGTCAGCTTAGCTCATTGTTTACCTAAGCAGTTCGAAAACAGCTTTAGCTATGATTAGAGAAATTAGAAGGAATTGGACCAATGTCCCTTGTGATATGTTCCAACTGTGATTCTCGGCCATTCCTCACATGTAGCGCAACTTAGGCCCATGTGTGTCACTCACATGATGCAAAGCCATGGCACAGAACACAAGGTAGTATGACTATTAACTGCCTTGAGTCCCCTTGGGGAGGAAGGTGGGGTATAAATAAAGGAAATAAATACAATAATAAGTAATAGTCAGGATTAATGTGCCATGGTTACCCTCCATTGGGATTGGCTTTCGAGATGCATTGTCCCAAATAGTGGCGGTCTCCTCCCAGTAACCTTGAGATGCTTGGCACCTTCCCTCTGGCTCTGTCGCCGAGGACATGGAAGAGTAAGGATCCAGTCACTTGACTTTGGATCGCTTGGATGGCCTTCTTTGCATCCAGATAGATACTTCACTGTCCTGAAGCCCAAATTCCCCATTCTGTCTCTGCCTTCTTTCCACCCTAAATCCATTTTTGTAGTTTCTATGGCACCTAAGCAAAGGGAAGATGAAATCAGAAGGCAATGGGTGTTTTGTATTCCGAGCGCATTTTGCTGGTTCTGCTTCAGTGCTTGTTTCTGAGCGATTTCCCTTCCCCTCCGTCTGCCGGTTTCAGACAATTCTCTGAAAGATGCGTCATGAATAATTATTTTGGCATCGGCCTGGACGCAAAGATCTCCCTGGAGTTCAACAACAAGAGGGACGAGCATCCGAAGAAATGCAGGTAGGAGGGAAGTGTGCAAAAAGAGAGGGCACGCAAATGCGTCCAGAGAGACGTAAACACACGCGGAGCATCCTAAGCAGGCAGTTCATAGAGTGGCTCTTTTCTCCAAGTCTTGGCTGTGTTGTTCCCCGGGAACAAGCTCCAAAACAGCCACATGTGGGCCCACAAAGCAGTTGCCTTTGCAACACAATTGAGAAATCTTTTCCCCTTTGCAACCATTTCCTTTTGATACTGCAACATTTCCACTCACTCTGAGCGCCAGAGAGTTTCTGGGTTGATGAAACTTCTGCCCCCAAGACTGCTCTTTCCACCATAATTTGGGGATTTCTGGATATTTTTTGCATACAGACTTGGAGAGAGAGAGTCCTACTTTCTTGGCATTAAAAGCTATGCCAAGGAAGAGCTTCTAAGGCTCTTCTCTCGCTCCCGCCCTCATTGCAAGTGTGACTTGTGGGGATGAGAGGGAGGGCCTTCTCTGTGGTGGCCCCCCGGCTCTGGAATTTGCTCCCCAGAGATATTACGCAAGCCCCCACCCCGGCAATCTTCAGGAGGACCCTGAAAACTGGGTTATTCCAATGTAACATACCCCCTGACTAAACACTGCATAAAATATGGTTCGTGCAATTAAATCCTACCTCACCCTCGGATTTTTACATTGTCCTATCTCCCAGTGTTTCAAAATTTTATCTTTGAATTTGGCCCTGCCCAGTGTGATCATTTGTGTTTTAATGTATGATTTTATGCTGCTGTGTTGCTTATTTATATTGGTTTTGCATCTAGTGTAATTTATTTTCTGATTTGCTGTTGTGTTGTGTTTATATTGTGTTTATTGTATTGATGGGCAGGGCCTTATGTAAGCCGCCCCGAATCCCCTTGGGGGAGATGGAGGCGGGGTATAAATAAAGTTTTAATATTATTATTATTAATTATTAAAATCAGCATTTCTCAATGTGGGGATCTGGACCCCTGGGGGGGTCACGAGGGGGTGTCAGAGGGGTCACCAAAGACCATTAAAAACACAGTATTTTCTGTTGGCCATGGGGGTTCTGTGAGAGAAGTTTGGCCAAATTCTATCATTGGTGGGGTTGAGAATGCTATTTCATAGTAAATGAACTATAAATCCCAGCAACTACAACTCCCAAATGTCAAGGTCTATTTCCCCCAAATTCCACCAGTGTTCACATTTGGGCATATTGAGTATTTGTGCCGAGTTTGGTCCTGATCTATCACTATTTGAGTCCACAGTGCTCTCTGGATGTAGGTGAACTACAACTCCAAAATTCAAAGCCGATGCCCAACAAACCTTTTCAGTATTTTCTATTGATCATGGGAGTTCTGTGTGCCAAGTTTGGTTCAATTCCATCATTGATGAGATTCAGAATGCTCTTTGATTGTAGGTGAACTATAAATCCGGCCCAGCTTATCTATCCGAACGTATATTTTCTTACGAACTCACCAGTAACTTGAGATTGTCAGAGGAGGCCCTGCTCTCGATCCCGCCTGCTTCGCAAGCACGTTTGGCGGGGACGAGAGACAGGGCCTTCTCTGTGGTGGCCCCTCGGCTGTGGAACTCTCTGCCTAGGGATATTAGATCAGCCCCCTCCCTCCTGACCTTTTGAAAAAGAGTGAAAACTTGGCTGTTTGAGCAAGCTTTCGGAACCTCAGCATAAACAGACAAACTGGAATTGGAAAATGACCCAGGAACGGCTAAGACGATGGAACGGATGAGGATTTGAATGAGAGGATATAGTTTTTAAAAATTTTATTGTTCATTGTTTTTATGATTTTAAACGTAATGTAATGTTACTTTTTTGCTTTTTATCAATGTACGTATTTTATATTTGGCATTGAATTGTGCCGACTCTGTATGCCGCCTTGAGCCGCCTTCAGGCTGATATGGGTGGGATAGAAATAGCGTAAATAAATAAATAATAAATAATATTAACACTATAATGGTACAGTACAGTGGCTCTCAACCTTTCTAATGCCACAACCCCTTAATACAGTTCCTCATGTGGTGGTGAATCCCAACCATAAAATTACTTTTGTTGCTACTTCATAACTGTAATTTTGCTATTGTTATGAATCGTAATGTAAATATCTGATATGCAGGGTGTATTTTCATTCACTGGATCAATCTGGGCACAAATACCCGATACACCCAACCCAAACCTTGAATACTGGTGGGGTTAGGAGGAGTCATTTGTCATTTGGGAGTTTTTGGGATTTATAGTTCAACTACAATTAAAGAGCATCCTGAACTCTACCAATGATGGAATTGAACCAAATTTGGCACAACGAACTCCCATGAACAAGAGAAAATACTGGCAGGGTTTGGTGGGCATTGACCTTGAGTTTTGGAGTTGTAGTTCACCTACATCCAGAGAGCACTGTGGACTCAAACAATAATGGATCTGGACCAAACTTGGCACGAATATTCAATATGCCCAAATGTGAACACTGGTGGAGTTTGGGGAAAATAGACATTGAACTTTGGGATTTGTAATTACTGAGATTTATAGTTCGCGTACAATCAAAGAGTTTTCTGAACTCCACCAACAATAGAATTGGGCCAAACTTGACACACGGAATCCCCTTGACCAACAGAAAATACTGTGTTTTCTAGGTTTTTTCATGCTGTATAGCCATGGTCTAGAGGCATTCTCTCCTGACGTTTCGCCTGCACCTATGGCAAGCATAGATGCAGGCAAAACATCAGGAGAGAATGCCTCTAGACCATGGCCACCCAGCCTGAAAAAACCTACAACAACCCAGTGATTCCGGCCATGAAAGCCTTCGACAATACAGAAAATACTGTGTTTTCTGATGGTCTTCGGTGACCCCTCTGACGCCCCCCTCGCGATCTCCCCAGGGGACCCAACCCCCAGGTTGAGAAACACTGGTATAGTACAATATAGTGATAATTAATACTGATATAGTACTATGCTAATAATATAATATATTGCATGCATATGTATCTTGTGAGCCGCTCAGAGTCCTCTTCGGGGTGAGAAGGGTGGCATATAAATGCCATAAATAAATAAATAAATAAATAAATAAATAAATAAATAAATAAATTTCCTCCATGATGGGGCCAGAGGCAGACCTCAGGTCAAGATGCCAGGCAGAAAGGCTCAAGGGCCACATCTTGGCCAAACGTGCCCTTATTCCCGGAGTGCATTGTGACTTTGCAGCCCTTCCTTCAAGGGCTCTCCAAATGTTCCTTACTGGAACCGTATGAGGTTTGCTCCAGGGAGCCAAGGGAATGAGGCTCCGAGGCCTGATCTCTCTCTCTCGCTCGCTCCAGAATAAGTGCTCTCCAGAAATAAAGAGGCTGGCCTCTCCTCGGAGCCATCCATGGGGCGCCCTGGGAGCCAACCTCATAAGCTCCTTAATTATCCATAATTGCCTGCCCTTGGAAGGGCCTAATAAGGCATGAAGGAGAGTGCTGATGGTTTTCATCTCAAGGAGAGGTGACTATTTAGTCCCTGGAGATTGAGAGGGAACACAATTGTGCCGGAGACTCAAAAGGGGCAGCTCGTCATGAGTTAATCTTGAGAGAAAGAGCTAAACGAATCCAAACTAGAGCACAAAAGGGCGCATCCACTTTGCACATGGCTTCTGTGCACGAGTGAATGACAAAGGAGTCTCTCGTTCCTTCTTTTGTTTCTCTATGCAGCAGTCGCACAAAGAACATGATGTGGTACGGTGTCCTGGGGACAAAGGAGCTGCTCCAGAGGACCTACAAGAACCTGGAGCAGCGGGTCCAGCTGGAGGTAGCCCACCCCCAAATCCCCCAGACCGGAAGGAAAGGGGTGGTTGGGAAAGGCTCTCTTTCTCAAAGGCTTTGCAGCAGAGTCCTCTTAAGAATACAACCCTGCGTCTATTGCAAAGCACTGTTAAAAAACAATAAAGTCCATTCAACAAGGCATGATTGGGGTGATGGTTGAAAGACATCCAGCCCAGGGATTGGCAAAGAGGACTCCCATTTGGCTCTCGTGCCTTGAAGCCATCAAACTGAAGCACCATCTGATGCCGCGGTCCAAGCCTTTGGGATTTCTTGGAGAGAAAGGGGGGTCTGAGGTTTGCTCTGGGAAGGTCCTAACTCCTCTTTTTCCTCCTCCTCCTCCTCCTCAGTGTGATGGGGTGCCCATTTCTTTGCCCAGTCTGCAAGGCATTGCTGTACTGAACATCCCAGCTATGCAGGAGGCATCAACTTCTGGGGAGGCACCAAGGAGGACAGCGTGAGTTAGGGGGGCTGGGAGTTGGGGGAGAATCTCCCTTTAGCCCAAGAATCCCTCCCTCCCTTCTTTCCTTCCTTCTTTCCTCCCTCCCTTCTTGCCTTCGTTCCTTTTGTTCCTTTTTCCCTCCTTTTTTTTCTTTCCTTCCTTCCTCCCTTCTTTCCTTCCTTTCTTCCCCCTCTCTCCCCTCCTCCTTTCTTTTCTCCCTGCTTTCCTCCTTCCTTCCTTCTCTTCTTTCTTACTTTCTTCCCTTCCACTCCCTTCCTTCTATCCTTTCCCCCTCCCTCCTTTCCTTCTTCTCCTTCTTCCTTCTCCTTCCTTCCTTCTTCCTTCCTTCCTTCCTTCTTCCTTCCTTCCTCTTCTCTTCCTTCCTCTCCTTCCTTTCCTTCCTTCCTCCCTCCTTCCTTTCTTTTTTCCCTCCCTTCTTTCCTTCTTTCTTTTCTTCCTTCTCCCTTCCTTCCTCCTCTTTCTTTCCTTCTTTCTCTCCTTCCCTTCCTTCTTTCCCTCTCCCTCCTTTCTCTCCTTTTCTTCCTCCTCCTTTTCTTTCCTCCTTTTTCCTCCCTTCTCCCTTCTTTCTTTCCTCCTTTATTCATCTTTTCTCCTCCCTTCTTTCCTTCCTTCTTTTATCCCCCTCCCTCCTACCTCCTTCCTGCCTTCCTTCCTTCTCTTTTCTTTCCCTTCCTCTTTTTCTCCTTCCCCCTCTCTCTTTCCCTTCCTTCCTTCCCTTCCTTCCCTTCCTTCCTTCCTTTCCTTCCATCCTTCCTTCCTTTCTTTCTTTCTTTTTCCTTTTTGTCCTTCCTTCCTTCCTTTTCTCTCTCCCTTTCTTTCCTTCCTCCCTCCCTCCATTCTTGCTTTCCTCCCTCCCTCCCTTCTTTCTTCCAGCCCTTCGGAGATTCCTACCCCTTCCAGAATCTCCCTGGGAATCAGTCCATGAGGCTCTGAGCTCAGGATTCAGCTTTGCTTCCAACCTCAGAAGAGGATTGGTAGTGTTGGGAATGGTGTGGTTCAGTTTCCCATGATTTCCACAGCAGATGCTTTTCAGCTTAGCCTGGAGCAGAGCTTTACAAACTGTCATGACACATAATCATGCCAGCTGCATTGTTTCGGTTTGTCATGCAAACGTAACTAGAAATCTCTGTGTCACTGTTAAATTAGCAGTAAATCATATATCTTTAAAGACACACATGAAAGATTTCCATGAGACATATTGTGCCATACTTAGCTCTATTATTACAACCTATAGATGTCTCTGTCCCTCTTTTCCGGGTGAATGGGCTTATTAACAAAAGACCCTCCTCATAAATATGCAGCAGAGTAACTTATCAGCAGCAGCGTAACACAACACCAGCAGCCCAAAATGATAAAAAGAACAAAAACACACAGTCCACAAAGTTTTCTCTTCCATAGGAGGCTTTTCTTTGTAGCAAAATAATATGGTTGCACTATTTTAAAGAGCAAGGTTTCCATAACACAAATAAAGTTCTTTATACTTCCTTCTTTGCTTCCACGCTGGGCTTCTTTCTCATACAGATAAACAGCTTCTCTCTCACAAAGCCTCTTCTCACACCGAAGTTACACAGGAGCTTCATACAGTAGCTTTACACAAACTGAAGCTTCACACACAATGGACTTCAACCTGGGGCTTCTTCTCACCAAAGCTTCTCACACCAGGCCGTCTCAAACTGAGGCCTACTAACACTGAGCCTACCTTACACTGAGGCTTTTCTCCCACTGAGGCCTACCTCACTACCCCTCTATTCTGCTTTGGTTAGACCACACCTGGAATATTGTGTCCAATTCTGCACACCACAATTCAAGAGAGATATTGACAAGCTGAAATTTGTACAGAGGAGGGCGACTAAAATGATCAAGGGTCTGGAGAACAAGCCCTATGAGGAGCGGCTTAAGGAGCTGGGCATGTTTAGCCTGAAGAAGAGAAGGCTGAGAGGAGATATGATGAAGGCCATGTATAAATATGTGAGAGGAAGTCACAGGGAGGAGGGAGCAAGCTTGTTTTCTGCTTCCCTGGAGACTAGGACACGGAACAATGGCTTCAAACTACAAGAAAGGAGATTCCATCTGAACATGAGGAAGAACTTCCTGACTGTGAGAGCCGTTCAGCAGTGGAACTCTCTGCCCCAGAGTGTGGTGGAGGCTCCTTCTTTGGAAGCTTTTAAACAGAGGCTGGATGACCATCTGTCAGGGGTGATTTGAATGCAATATTCCTGCTTCTTGGCAGGGGGTTGGACTGGATGGCCCATGAGGTCTCTTCCAACTCTTTGATTCTATGATTCTATGATTACGCAAACTTCTGAGGACTTTCTCCCTCTGAGGTGAACTAACACTGAGGCCTTCTCATACTGAGGCCTACTAACACACTGAGGCCCCTCTCACACACTGAGGGCTACTAAGCTACAGACCAATATGAAATGTTTGGCAAGCTCTGGTCTAGAGGGAGAATGGACATAGGGAAGCCCTTGCCATTCCCGTCTTTGAGCTGTGTTTATGTCTGTACCTCTTCCTTTCCAGAACTTTGGGGCCCCCTCGTTCGACGACAAGAAGCTGGAGGTGGTGGCCGTCTTCGGCAGCATCCAGATGGCCGTCTCGCGGGTCATTAACTTGCAGCATCACCGCATTGCCCAGGTATGACCCAAACACCTTTGCCATGCTTTCAAGGCACAGGATTCATTATCTTCCTTCTTGCATGTAAACAATTCAGCCTTCCTGAGATTTGTGTGGTTTCTGGTCTATATGGCCATGTTCTAGCAGCATTTTCTCCTGATCTAATCACCTCTCAACAAAAGTTTGCTCCAGGCACTGTCAGGCCATTATATGCTAATCAAGGTGGTCAGTTGAAACATTCACACCTAGCTCCAGCAGACAAGAGTCCTTTGTCCCACCCTGGTCATTCCACAGATATATAAACCCAGTTTTCCTAGTTCCAACAGACCTCACTACTCTGAGGATGCTTGCCATAGATGCAGGCGAAACGTCAGGAGAGAATGCCTCTAGAACATGGCCATATAGCCCGAAAAAACCTACAACAACCCATATTCTCCTGATGTTTTGCCTGCATCTGTGGATGGCATCTTCATAGGATCTAATGGTAGTAAGCAAGTGGAGTATATATACCTGTGGAATGTCTTGGGTGGGAGAAAGAACCATTGTCTGTTAACCAAGTATAAAGGGTGCAAGCTTGATTTGCTCGTGTTGAGTGATATCCACCCACTAGCATGTGAGTAACTGAGAAGATGGCATAGTCAATAGTGAACGCATCTGCCTCGAAGTAGCCAGGCCTTTGTTCCCTTTGAATTGTTTACTGCCTGGAGACCTTCTGTGTCTGTGTGGTGTTCATTAGTCACTGTCTTCATTGCAGTGTTTTTCAGTACTGGTAGCCAGATTTTCTTCGTTTTCATGGTGTTGGAAATGGCAACCTTCGACAAATCTCCTATGCTAGTTGCTTATTATGCATACTAGCCGTTCCCTCTAAAATTATAACTGTAAATAAAGAACAACACTCAAACACAGGGGAACTCCAGACAAGAAACAATCAGGGCCAGCTAATCACCTCTCAACAAAGGATTATCCCTAAAAAACTGTCAGGCTATGAAATGGTCATCAAGGTGGCCAATTGAAACATTCATACCTACCTCCAACAGACAAGAGTTCTTTCTCCCACCCTGGATCTTCCACAATTTTCCTAGTTAAAGGTTTTCCTCTGACATGAAGTCCAGTCGTGTCTGACTCTGGGGTGTGGTGCTCATCTGCATTTCTAAGTCGAAGAGCCGGCGTTGTCCGTAGACACCTCCAAGGTCATGTGGCCGGCATGACTGCATGGAGCGCCGGGGCAGCCTCCCTTGGCTGGCTCACGCTGCCCATCGGGCCCGATGGGCAGCGTGAGCCTGCCAAGGGAGGAGCAGCCCCGTGGCCTACTCACACGTAAAGCACCTTGCGAGGTGCTTTACCGAGTAGGCCACACGGAGCAGCTGCCCTTGGCTGGCTCACGCTGCCCATCGGGCCTGACGGATAGCGTGAGCCAGCCAAGGGAGGGGCACTGTGTGTGGGGGGGGGGCGCTCCTCCTCTGCGGGCCGGATAAGTGCCCTTGGAGGGCCGGAAGTGACCTGCGGGCCATAGTTTGGGGACCCCTGCCTTAGAATCATAGAGTTGGAAGAGACCTCATGGGCTATTCAGTCCAACCGCTTGTTAAAAAGTAGTAAAATGGCATTCAAAGCACTCCTGACAGATGGCCATCCAGTCTCTGTTGAAAGGCCTCCAAAGAATGAGTCTCCACTACACTCTGGGGCAGAAAGTTCCACTGCTGAACAGCTATCACAGTTAGGAAGTTCTTCCTATGTTTAGCTGGAATCTCCGTCCTTTCCTGTAGTTTGAAGCCACTATTCCATGTCCTAGACTCCAGGGCAGCAGAAAACAAGCCTGCTCCTTCCTCCCTATGAATTCCCCTTACATATGTATACTTCTCCCTCATCATGTCTCCTCTCAACCTTCAGTATCCCGTTTGGTGGACAGCTCGTCAGTCTCTCTCTCCCACCCACTTCCTCTTGTTTCCGCTTCCCCCCTTTTCAGTGCCGGATGGTAAAGATCACAATTCGGGGCGACGAGGGGGTCCCGGTCCAAGTTGACGGGGAAGCGTGGATCCAGCCCCCAGGAATGATCAAGATCCAGCACAAGAACCGGGCCCAGATGCTGACCAGAGACAGGGTGAGGAGGTGGCACAGTCCAAAATAGAGACGGGGTGCAGTCGGTCCAGTTACACAACGGGAAGCCATAGTATGGCTGGAAAGGATTCTTGAGCTTCAAGAAACATTATCTGCAGATTTACCTTAAAAGTGTATCAAACCATAAGGAACTCCATTTCTAGATAGAAAAGACGGGGGTCTAGATTAGCTGACTAAATCTAAATAGAGATGTCATATAATTTCCATTTCTTCTAAGGCAGCGTTTCTCAACCTGGGGATCAGGACTCCTGGGGGGGGGTCACGAGGGGGCATCAGAGGGGTCGCCAAAGGCCATCAGAAAACACAATATTTTCTGTTGGTCAAGGGGTTCTGTGTGGGAAGTTTCACCCAATTTTATCATTGGTGAGGTACAGAATGCTCTTTGATTGTAAGTGAACTATAAATCCTAGCAACGACAACGCCCAAATGTCAAGATCTATTTTCCCCAAACTCCAACAGTGTTCACATTTGGGCATATTGAGTATTTGTGTAGAGTTTGGTCCAGATCCATCATGGCTTGAGTCCACTGTGCTCTCTGGATGTAGGTGAACTACAACTCCAAAACCAAAGGACACTGCCCACCAAACCCTTCCAGTATTTTCTGTTTGTCATGGGACATGTGTGCCAAGTTTGGTTCAATTCCATCGTTGGTGGGGTTCAGAATGCTCTTTGATTGTAGGTGAACTATAAATCCCAGCAACTACAACTCCCAAATGACAAAATCATAATTTTTTGAGTGATGGTCACTCCTTGTGTTGTGAGATGTTTTGTTGCCAAATTTGGTGTGATTTCGTTCATTGGTTCTTTTGTTTTTAAGGTACTCATTATGCACAGAGTATTTATATATATATATATATATATTATCATATAATATTTATAATATTATAATGTAATACAATATAATGCTATTAATAATAAAATGATATTATAATTATATATTTATATTACATGTAATATTACTAATAATATTACAATATAATGGTAAAGTACAATATAGTAATATATAATACTCTTTTTTTCATATCAGGAGCAATTTTGCTCTGGGCCAGAGTGAAGAGAGAGGGGGCCAGGGGACAGTTCCACCTTGTCTCCTGTGCTATGCTAATAATATAATATATATATAATATATTGTATATAATATAATATTTATAATATTATAATGTAATGCAATATAATACTACTAATAATAAATGATATTATAATTATATATTTATATTACATGTAATATTACTAATAATATTACAATATAATTGTATAGTACAATACAGTAATATATAATACTCTTTTTTTCATGTCAGGAGCAATTTTGCTCTGGGCCAGAGTGAAGAGAGAGGGGGCCAGGGGACAGTTCCACCTTGTCTCCTGTGCTATGCAAATAATATAATATAATATATTGTATATACATATAATATTTATAATATTATAATGTAATGCAATATAATACTACTAATAATATGATCTTATAATTATATATTTATATTACATGTAATATTACTAATAATATTACAATATAATGGTATAGCACAGGGGTCTTCAAACTAAGGCCCGGGGGCCAGATACGGCCCTCCAAGGTCATTTACCTGGCCCTCGCTCAGGGTCAACTGAAGTCTGAAATGACTGGAAAGCACACAACAACAACAAAAGAAGACCCATACTTCCCATTAAAACACTAATAAGTTTATATTTGTTAAAATTGTTCTTCATTTTAATTATTGTATTTTAAGTGTTTTTGCATTACAAATAAGATATGTGGAGTGTGCATAGGAATTCATTCATTTTTTTCAAATTATAATCCGGCCCTCCAACAGTTTGAGGGACTGTGACCTGGCCCTCTGTTTAAAACGTTTGTGGACCTCTGGTATAGCACAGTATAGTAATATATAATACTGATATTGTACTATGCTAATAATATAATATTTTGTATGTATATATATCTTGTAAGCCGCCTTCGTGGTGAGAAGGGTGGCATATACATGTTGCAAATAAATAAATAAATAAATAATCCTGTTTTGGTGCCTATCTCTTTCCTCACTGAGGACTGTGGACTTGAACAGGATGTGGTTGAAGAACACCAGATTTCTCCCTGTCAAACGGGATGGTGATGTGTCTTACCTAGAATGCATCTTCAAAGAGCATATCAGAGAGGGAAAGCTAGAGGGGGGTGGGTGGGCCATGGCTGATCATTTGAATGCCTCCCTCCCTCCTTGCCCCTTGCAGGCCTTTGAGAGCACCCTCAAGTCGTGGGAGCACAAGCAGAAGGGCGAGGGCTACCGCTCCTCCTCCCGGCACCGGCTCAGCTCCCAGCAGTCCATGGAGTACCTGACAGATGAGGAGCAGGTACAGATCCAGCAGCTGGCCCAAGACACGGAGACACTCATTGACAGGTACCTCCAAACGCTACAGCTTTGTAGGTCAGGTTGGTCTCCTACTGGGCTTCCGTTCCCTCATATGCAGGGCAAGAAGAAAGGGACTGCTTGGTGTAACCATTGTGTGGGACTTGAAGGTTGGACTGGAACCTTTGAGGGCCAAATTCATAATAATAAAAATAACTAGCTTTCCCTTGCCACACGTTGCTGTGGCCCAGTCTGTTGATCTGGAAAATAAAGTAATGAGAAAGTATTGGTTTCTAATATATGTAATTCCTTTCTGCTTGTGGGTAAACAGTACTTCTTGTTTCTTTGTTAGTGTTGATGTGGAGAGTGCCTGGTTTGCCCACCCTGGAACATGCAAGATATCATTGTCCTTCTTAAAGGGTCCCTTTCAAATCTATGATACTATATCTGTGTGTGTGTGAATCATATCTATCTATCTATAACTATGGCTGGATGGCTCTTTGTCAGGAGGGCTTTGATTACGTTTTCTTGCCCTGGTGAAGGGAGTTGGACTGGATGGCCTTAAGTATTTTTTGTTGGTCATGGGGGTTCTGTGTGGGAAGTTTGTCGTTCGTGGGGTTCAGAATGCTCTTTGATTGTAGGTGAACTGTGAATCCCAGTGACTACAACTCCCAAATGTCAAGGTCTATTTCCCCAAACTCCATCTGTGTTCATATTTGGGCGTATTGAGTGCTTGTGCCAAGTTTGGTCCAGATCTATCATTGTTTGAGTCCACAGTGCTCTCTGGATGTAGGTGAACTACAACTCCCAAACTCAAGGTCAATGCCCACCAAACCCTTCTAGTGTTTTCTGTTGGTCATGGGAGTTCTGTGTACCAAGTTTGGTTCAATTCCATCGTTGGTGGGGTTCAGAATGCTCTTCTATTGTAGGTGAACTATAAATCCCAGCAACTACATCTCTCAAATGAGAAAATCATAATTTTTTGAGTTGTGTTGTAAGACGTTTTGTTGCCAAATTTGGTGTGATTTCGTTCATTGGTTCTTTTGTTTTTAAGGTACTCATTATGCACAGAGCATTTATATATATATAGATAATCATCATCATCATCATCATGTTGTTCTCCCCATGAGCCTGTTTTGGGTGCAGAGGAAGAGTGAGGATGGGCTTTGGATGACTCCAGAATCATACAGTTAGAAGAGACCCCCAAGGGTCATCCAGTCCAACCCCTTTGTTATACAGGGACATACAATCTGATTCCTCCTGACAGACAGGCATCCAGCCTCTCCAGAGAAGGAGACTCTGCCAGGCTCCCAGGCAGCAGAGGATTCTGCTATTGAAGAGCCCTTACCGTCAGGAAGTTCTTGCTAATGTTTAAGTGGGATCTCTTTTATTGCCATTTGAATGCTTCCCTTTTGGGCTTCCGCAGGATCCGTGAGGCTGCCAAGACCCACCGTGCCATTGAGCAGGAGCTGGCGCATGCCGTGAATGCCAGCTCCTTGGCACTGAGTGAAACACTGCCCAACAAGAACAGCAGCGGTGGGACCGAGGTAGTATTATTATTGTTATTATTATTATTTGAGTAAGAGGTGAATCTCCAGTGCTTTGGAGTTTAAAGTGGGGCACAATGCTCGCACGTTGATCCCTCTTCCATTGCTATAGCTGCATCTTGCGATGGGCAGCTCTGGGATATCTAGCACCCTCCCCCTCCACTGCTGGCCCCCATCCTCTTGGCTGCACCTTGCGTCCACTTTGCCCCTTCCCTGCTAATGAGGCCCTTTCTCTCGCCTTGTGTTCCTTCCCAGCCTCTTCTGTTCCTGAGCCGGAGCTCCGCCGTGGAGCTGTCTGCCAGCGTCAAAGCCCTATACACCGAAACCCGGGCTTTTCTGGAAGGGAAACTGGTGAGTGTGGGATGCTAGGCACCAAAGGGAACTGCAAAGCCAGTCCTCATTGTGGTTTGGGAGGCTTCTGAAATGCCTCCCTCCAAGGCACAGATTCACGGTGGGCATGCCAATGGGGAGAAGTGCTATGGGGCAGAAGTGGCTCCCCAACTTCTCTTCCAAAGGCCCAGGTTTTAAGGGAAGGCACAAAGGGGTTTGAAACCCTCCTTGGTCTCTTTCTTCACAGCAGCTGGACTCCCCTCAGCAAGAGGAAGGCCTGCGCCATGCCCTGAGCGCCGTCAGCCAAGAGCTGCGAAGGCTCTCCGAAATACACTGGATGGCCCCCATCATCAGCTCCACCGAAGAGGTGGGTTTGAAGAGATTGGGGGGCCAGTGGGTCCAGGGAGAACAGCTGCCTTTGTGGCCCCATGACAAGGACCCAAAGGAAAAGATTACAAGATGTGGATTACAAGATTACAAGAGTCCAACTGCTCAATCAAGGCAGAAGGGAGGAGATGATGATGATGATGATAATTATTATTATTATTACTTGAAACATAACAAGATGAGTCCACAGCAGACAAGATCACTCTGCTGGCTGTTGTATTGGATCACACGTCGGACACTTTCCAAGTGTCTAGGATGGTGTAATGTATTATTATTATTATTATTATTATTATTATTATTATTATTATTATTATTAGAAACACAACAAAATGAGTCCACAGCAGATAAGATCACTCTGCCGGCTGTTGTATTGGATCACACGTCGGACACTTTCCAAGTGTCTAGGATGGTGTGATATATTATTATTATTATTATTATTATTTGAAACACAACAAGATGAGTTCACAGCAGACACTCCTAAGTGTTTAGGACTGTGTGATGTATCGAATAATGCATGCAGATCCCAGTAAGGTGGCCTTTTGCAGCTGGCAGATGGTAATCTTGTCAGCGCCATTTGTGTTTAAGTGCAGGCCAAGGTCTTTAGGCACTGCACCCAGTGTGCTGATCACCACTGGGACCACCTTGACTGGCTTATTATTATTATTATTAATTTTATTATTATTATTTGATACATAACAAGATTAGTACACAGCAAACAAGATCACAAGATCACTATGCTGGTTTTTGTATTTGATTACACGTTGGAAATTTCCCAAGTGTCTAGGACTGTGCCATGAATCAATGAATAATGTGTTCAGATCCAAGTAGGGTGACCTTTTGCAGCTGATAGATGGTAATTTTGTTAGCGCCGATTGTGTTTAAGTGCAGGCCAAGGTCTTTAGACACTGTACCCAGTGTGCTGATCACCACTTGGACCACTTTGACTGGCTTGATCCAGAGTCTTCGCAGTTCGATCTTTAAATCCTTATATCGTGTCAACTCTTCCAGTTGCTTCTCATCAATTCTGCTGTCACCTGGGGTTACAACATCGATGATCTATACTTTTGTTTTTTCCCCCCACAGTCATGAGGTCAGGAGTATTGTCCTCCAAACTCTGTCAGTCCAAATTTGGAAATCCCAGAGTAGTTTGGTGTGTTCATTTTCCATAATCTTTTCAGGCTTGTATTCCCACCCATTCTTTTCACAGGCAGATGGTATTTGTGGCAAAAATTCAAATGTATTATTATTATTATTATTATTATTATTATTATTATTATTACATTATGCAATACGATTTTTGTTCCTGGGTTATAAATGTCATATCCCAATTGGTTCTATATTAAAAACATGGGGAAAAATTATTAAACTGCAAACTGTTTAATATTAAACTGTTTTTATGGGAGAGACATCTTGAATAAATCTCTCTCAGAGTCTCAACCAATTCAACCTAGTTTGTGGCAGCCACAAAAACTAAATTTCTGGAAAATAACAGCTGCTTTCAAAGTAAGGACCACACAATTAAACAGGAAATAACACTTTCAAACCAGGAACAGATCATTTTTTTCAAATTTTGTTACATAGTGTTATCATTATTGTTATTTAGAGAATTTTTAGCCATAAAGGCACTCAGAGCGACTTACAAAATGTGTTGTCGGAGGCTTTCATGGCTGGAATCACTGGGTTGTTGTGAGTTTTCCGGGCTGTATGGCCATGTTGCAGAAGCATTCTCACCTGACGCTTCACCCACATCTATGGCAGGCATCCTCAGACATTAAGGGGTCTGTTGGAAGTTAGACAAGTGAGGTTTATATATCTATGGAATGTCCAGAGTGGGAGAAAAAACTCTTGTCTGCTTGAGGCACGTGTGAAAGTTGCAAAGGGCCATCTTATTATCATGTAATGGTCTTGCAGCTTCAAAGCCTGGCTGGTTAATACTTAGGTGATCCCTCGTTGGCCGAGTAGGATAATCTTCAGTGTTCTGGTGGGTCCGTAGGTGACTGTGGAGCCTTATTCTTGATCTGCATCTTCTCCTGCAGTGGTTTCCAAGTGGAAGGCGGTCTCGGTCAGGGTTGGCTTGACACGCCTTCCTCTTGGCACGTTTCTCTCTTTCGCCCTCCATTCGTGCCTCTTCAAATTCTGCAGCACTGCTGGTCACAGCTGACCCATCTGGAGCACTCAAGGGCCAGAGCTTCCCAGTTCTCAGTGTCTATGCCAGAGTTTTTAAGGTTGGCTTTGAGCCCATCTTTAAATCTCTTTTCCTGCCCACCAACATTCCGTTTTCCGTTCTTGGGCTGGTTAATAAACCTCACTTGAACCTCCAACAGATCTCTCAACCTTTTGAGGATACCTGCAATAGATACGGGTGAAATGTCAGGAGAGAATGCTTCTGGACATGGCCATACAGCCCAAAAAAACTCACAGTAACCCAGACTTACAAAATGTTAATTTGCCCCCAGGCTTAGAGTCTACTTTTGAGAATAAGATGGGAATGTAATAACAGGTGTAAGGCAGCATGGCCTTTTGGAGACCAGGGTTCAAATCCACACTCTGCCACAGAAACCCACTGGTGACCTTAGGTAAGTCGCACACTTTCAGCCTCAGGTCTGCCAATAACTAAAGGCTGCAGACTCTCCCAAGAGAGCTTTGTACGTTTCAGAGCAGAATAAGATTTGCAACAACAGAGGCATCTCCAGTCATGATTCCTTTTCACTGGGGAAACAGCACAAGTGGACCCCGGGGGGCAAGAAATATCTCTAATGCCTTCTCTCTGGAGGCTGTCGGGAAGGTTCAGCCGCATTCTTAGCCCTCTTGTAGGTTCGAAATGGCCAGAGGCAAAAATGTAGTCAAACTTTCCACACTCCCTCTGAGAGGGGAAACCTTGTGATGGCTTTACTAAAGGGAAATGCATTATATAGTATCTTCATTCATTTATTTATTTATTGTGTTAGGAGCAAACCAAACAGTTGTATTGCATTTTTTAACAAACAAACAAACAAAGCACAAAGTTTGCAAGCTTGGTAGTTGATTAAATGTCCTTTGACCAGTATCTGGCCACTTGGAGTGCTTCTGGTGTTGCCGCAAGGAGGTCCTCCATTGTGCATGTGGCAGGGCTCAGGTTGCATTGCAGCAGGTGGTCAGTGGTTTGCTCTTCTCCACACTCGCATGTCGTGGATTCCACTTTGTAGCCCCATTTCTGAAGGTTGGCTCTGCATCTCGTGGTGCCAGAGCGCAGTCTGTTCAGCGCCTTCCAAGTCGCCCAGTCCTCTGTGTGCCCAGGGGAGGAGTCTCTCATTTGGTATCAGCCATTGGTTGAGGTTCTGGGTTTGAGCCTGCCACTTTTGGACTCTCACTTGCTGAGGTGTTCCAGCGAGTGTCTGTAGATCTTAGAAAACTATTTCTTGATTTAAGTCGTTGACGTGCTGGCTGATACCCAAACAAGGGATGAGCTGGAGATGTCACTGCCTTGGTCCTTTCACTATTGGCTGCTACTTCCCAGTGGATGTCAGGTGGTGCAATACCGGCTAAGCAGTGTAATTTCTCCAGTGGTGTAGGGCGCAGACACCCCGTGATAATGTGACATGTCTCATTAAGAGCCACATCCATTGTTTTAGCGTGGTGAGATGTGTTCCACACTGGGCATGCATACTCTCCAGTGGTGGAGAGCGCAGACACCCCGTGAAAATGTGACATGTCTCATAAAGAACCACATCCATTGTTTTAGCGTGATGAGATGTGTTCCACACTGGGCATGCGTAATCAGCAGCAGAGTAGCAAAGCACAAGGGTAGATGTCTTCACTGTGTCTGGTTGTGATCCCCAGGTTGTGCCAGTCAGCTTTCGTATGATATTGTTTCTAGTGCCCACTTTTTGCTTGATGTTCAGGCAGTGCTTCTTGTAGGTCAGAGCACGGTCCAGAGTGACTCCCAGGTATGGTGTGCTGCAATGCTCCAGTGGGATTCCTTCCCAGGTAATCCTCAGAGCTCGGGATGCTTGTCTGTTCTTGAGATGAAAGGCACATGTCTGTGTTTTAGATGGATTAGGGATCAGCTGGTTTTCCCTGTAATAGGCAGTAAGAGCACCTAGAGCTTTGGAGATCTTCTGTTCAACCATCTCAAAGCTCCCTGCTTGAGTGGTAATGGCACAATCATCAACATAGATGAAACTCTCTGTCCCTTCTGGCAGTGGCTGGTCATTTGTGTAGATGTTGAACACTGATGGAGTTTCCTCGTGTGGGACCCTTGCTTTTTTGGCCTGCAAACGCCAGGTTGTCCCTTGGCTCCCCCTGGCTGCGGGTCTGGAAATCTAAAAGGAAATGCTTCCCAAACTCTGGGCTTCCCAAACTCTTCTGTGGGGTCTGCAGAAGGGAGCGAATAGCCCTGGCCTCTGCTCATTTCCCACACTTTGCCCCTTGGTCTCCACAGGGCATCAGCCAGGAAACCCCTGGCGCCTCCAACAAGGGCAGCCTGAAGCTGCGGATCAACCTGGCAAAGCCCAAGAAGGAGAAACTGCAGAAGCACCGCTCCAGCGGAGTCACTCCAGGTAACTCCTTTCCACCTGTTAACAAGGACGCTGTCCAGACCTTGAACTGGTGCTTAGTGACTGTGTCGGACTGGATGAGAGCTAACAAATTGAAGTTGAATCCAGACAAGATCGAGGCTCCTACTGGTCAGTCGTAAGGCCGAACAGGGCATAGGGTTGCAGCCTGTGTTGGATGGGGTTACAGGCCCCCTGAAGACACAGGTTCGCAGCTTGGGAGTGATCCTGAGCCTGGAATCCCAGGTTTCGGAGGTGGCCAGGAGAGTTGCATCTCTCAAGTAGGAAAATTAGGTACCACCTTAAAGTGTGGGGAGGCTAAATTAACTAATTTGTGAGGCCATTAAAAAAAAAGACTCCAGCAAAAAGCATGCAGGGAATGCGGAAGTAGTTCATCAGAGTCGCAGATGGACGATGAAAGCGACAGCTCCCCTGGCGGCCAGAGAAAGTTAAATAGCCTCTGTCTGTGTCTGTATATGTTGTATGTCAAAATTGGTATTGAATGTTTGCCATATATGTGTACACTGTAATCCGCCCTGAGTCCCCTGCGGGGTGAGAAGGGCAGAATATAAAAGCTGTAAATAAATAAATAAATAGGAGGAATCCGTTGTTGGGAGGTGTTAGCTGGCCCTGATTTATTCTTGTCTGGAATTCCCCTGCCTTTTGAGTGTTGCTCTTTATTTACTGTCCTGATTTTAGAGTTTTTAAGACTGGTAGCCTGTCTTTCGGGTTGCAAAGGTCGACAACAGGCTACACAATTGGTTGGAAACCCACTCCAACCCGGGCTGGCTTCGAACTCATGTTGTGTCCAGGTTGGTTCATCAGGTGCTCTGCTGTGTCTGACTTCTCTGCTTGAGTTAGTCTGCAGTGCTTTCATGTTCCTTGATTCGTGTTTTGGCAATGCTGCATTTGGTGGTCTCTATGCAGACTTGCCCACAGCTGCATGGTATATGGGAGACTCCTACAGAGGTGAAAGGATCCCTCTTGTCATTTGCTGAACGTAGCATTTGTAGGATTTTCTTAGTATCTGTAGATAGTTTTTGGACCATTCCTCCCAGTGCTTTCAGATATTCTCTCCATCCATGGCTCTTGAGGTCCCGTCCAGTCTCATGATCCTATAAACTGCATAGTGGGAAAGGGCCCCACTGTTTTGACTGCCTCTCTGCCTCTTGCATGGCTCTACTTTGGCTTAACCGACCTTCTCTGCTTCTTCCTTTCTTGCCAGTGGAAAACTGGGGCCCCGAAGAAGTGGCAGCTTGGTTGGATGCACTCGACTTGGGGGAGTACAAGGAGACCTTCGTGCGCCACGACATTCAGGGTGCGGAGCTGATCCTGTTGGAGAGGAAGGACTTGAAGGTACTATTAATTATTTATTTCATATATTTCTATCCCGCCCTTCTCCCCACAAGGGGGGCTCAGCGCAGCTGCACATGAGCATCAGAGGATGCTAACAACATAAATATCATAAAAATTACAATACACAATAAAATCATTTTAAAACATTGTACAACATCATCAGTAAAATTTAACAATAAATTAATAGATTAACGTGCCAGTAAAACCAAGCCGAGCCGGGAGAATCCATGTCACAAAATCCAAATTTCCTTTTCCTATTGCCGCTGGCCTCTAATTCAACGCCTGGCTCCAGAGCCAGGTTTTTATTTGTCTTCTAAAGGACAGGAGGGAGGTGGCCAACCTGATTATCCTTAGGGGGAGAAGTCCAGAGATGGGGGGCCACTGCCGAGAAGACCCTGTCTCTCGTCCCCACCAACCGCGTTTGCGAGAGTGGTGGGATCGAGAGCAGGCCCTCTCCTGATGATCTTAAGCTTCGTGATAGTTCATAGCAGGAGATACGTTCGGACAGGTAACCTGGACCAGAACTACTACTACTGCACCATGGGCCAACCACTACCGGCCCCATTCCCAAGCCCTTTGTGTGGCACCAAGGCACATTGCAGCATGGCATTGCACAAGTCGCACTGCTTGCTGCCGCGGTCTTCTTCACTTCTATGGGTGTCCATCCCAACATCAAGGGATGGAAACACCATGGTTAGTGCCAAACACAGAGGTCCTCTCCCTTTTGCCGTTATTCCATTACTAGCCGTCCCCTGCCATGCGTTACTGTGGCCCAGTCTGTGTATATGTGTTTTGTGTGTGTGTATATATTTGTGTATATGCCTGTTTGCGTATATATATGTGGTTTTGTGCGTGCGTTGTAATGTATTTTTTTGTTTTTTGGCTTTTTACGTCCCTTCTGCTATCTTTTTCAATGTTTTTATGAGTGATGCACTCGTTGGCCTGATTGGTGTTTTGTGTCCAAATTTGGTGTCAGTTCATCCAGTGGTTTTTGAGTTATGTTAATTCCACAAGCGAACATTACATTTTTATTTATATAGACTAGCTGTCCCCTGCCACATGTTGCTGTGGCCCAGTCTGTGAATATGTGCTTTGTGTGTGTGTGTATATTTGTGTATATGTGTGTTTGTGTATATATGTGTGTGTGGTTTTGCGCATGCGTTGTAATGGGTTTTTATGGCTTTTTAAGTCCCTTCTGCTGTGTTTTTCAGTGTTTTTATGAGTGATGGTCACTCATTGGCCTAATAGGTGTATTGTTTCCAAATTTGATGTCAATTCGTCCAGTGGTTTTTGAGTTATGTATATCCCACAAATGAACATTACATTTTTAGTTATATGAGCCATCCCCTGCCATGCGTTGCTGTGGCCCAGTCTGTGTATATGTATTTTGTGTGTGTATATATATGTGTATATGTGTAAATATGTTGTTTTGTGCATGCATTTTAATGTTTTTTTTTTGCATTTAAAGTCTCTTCCACTGTGTTTTTCAGTGTTTTTATGAGTGATGGCCACTCGTTGGCCTGATTGGTGTCTTGTGTCCAAATTTGGTGTCAATTCGTCCAGTGGTTTTTGAGTTATGTTAATCCCACAAACGAACATTACATTTTTATTTATATAGATTTGAAATCCAGCAATGCAAGAGCGCCCCCTCCTGGTATATATAGCAATAGCCAGACTGGTCAAAGGAGTCCCCACAGCCTTCTTGTAGCAAATATTCCCTATCTATCTACCTATCTACCTATCTGTCTCAATATAGCTGTTTCTTTGATTCTATGACACCACTGATTGTAAGGTGCACACTCATTTTGGTACCACCGAAAGAAAATGTATATAAACATCTATGATTCTAAGGTGCAGTTCCTAATAGGTTCTGTCATAAAGATCACCAATAATGAAATTTTGAAAGTTTTGTTAGAGTTCTGAAATTTTCACCACCAGAACTTTAGCAACACTGTAGAAGCAAAGCACCAGCGCCCCCTAGTTTTCACAACAAGAACTTTAGTTTTGTAAGTACTTTAGAACCGTTCAGAACCATGGATTGCACATGCCTACTAGTTAATATTTCTGACAAGGGCTTCATTGGAGCAGATGAGCTTCTCCTGCCTCTGAACAATTTTGCCCCTCTTTCCCTCACAGGACCTTGGGGTCTCCAAAGTGGGCCACCTGAAGAGGATCCTGCAAGGAATTAAGGACGCCGCCAGCCAGCAATAGAGAAGCTCTCCTCCGAAGGGAAGACCCCCAAGGGCACTGGAGACCCTCTTCCTGTCGGCTGCTGCCATCCGTTTCCATTGGCAGGAAGAGAGTGGGGATGATTGGCGTATATGTTGCCTGCAGATGGGGTCTTCAGGCGAGGGGAGTTTCCATGCGCCCCAGCATTGCCAAGAGTTTACATCTCCATCTTTGCCAAAGACTTTGTGGCTTGGCAGTGTCCTCCTGTCCCTCCTCCTGGGCCCCAATTCTTCTGCTTCCCCCCACCTCCTCCCATCCCAGTCTCTTGTGTGATATTGCATGGTGATGAATGGGGAAGGATTTGCACTATCTCTCGACCCCCGTTGACTCGAGTCCATCGTTCTTTTTAATGTCTTTTAAGCTTTTGAGTCCAGGGAGCTGGAAAGGGAAGCTGTGAAAAGGAGCTTAAAGGGAAATGCATGAGCAAGGAAAAGCAAAATGCAATAGTAACCACTTCTGTTGACTTGGCGCAAAAGCAAGAAAAGATAGGGATATATTGCAAATCCCATCACACAGAATAAGTCAGGGATGAGGGGAGTTGCAAACCAGTTGGTTAGTGAGTCATAAAATGTCCACATCTAATAGGTGAATGGATAAGAATGGATACTGAAGGATGAGGGAGGAGTGAGCCAAAGATAGTTGCCAAACTCCCCGCTGAGGTAGCCCAGGCTCATCTTCTTTGGCCTCAATTTGCTCAAAAAATTTTTCCGTGTCAGGGGCGACTGGTGTAAGAGAATTGTCCATCTGCAAGGACGTTGCCCAGGGGACGCCAGGATGTTTTGATCTTTTACCATCCTTGTGGGAGGCTTCCCTCATGTCTCCGCATGGGAAGCTGGAGCTGACAGAGGGAGCTCATCCATGCTCTCCCTGTATTCGAACCTGCGACCTGTATGTCAGGAGCGACTTGAGAAACTGCAAGTCGTTTCTGGTGTGAGAGAATTGGCCATCTGCAAAGACATTGCCGAAAGGATGCCTGGATGTTTTAATGTTTTACCATCCTTGTGGGAGGCTTCTCTCATGTCCCTGCATGGGGAGCTGGAGCTGACAGAGGGAGCTCACCCGTGCTCTCCCTGTATTCGAACCTGCGACCTGTGTGTCAGGAGCGACTTGAGAAACTGCAAGTCGTTTCTGGTGTGAGAGAACTGGCAGTCTGCAAGGACGTTGCCCGGAGGATGCCTGGATGTTTTGATGTTTTACCATCCTTGTGGGAGGCTTCTCTCATGTCCCTGCATGGGGAGCTGGAGCTTACATAGGGAGCTCATCCGCGCTCTCCCAGTATTTGAACCTCAAACCTATTGGTCTTCAGTCCAAGGATTTAACCCGCAGTGCCACTGGGGACTCCATTTGCTCAAATGCAAGGGAATAACTGGACTGGCATTTTGCAATCAGAACAAACAAACAAAAGATCAAAAAATAGGATATATTTTTTTCTGCAGAAGCAATTGTGGGGCGAGAGATGCCAATTGCAACCTCTCTGCCCCAAATTTTGCAGATTCAGAATGTAAAAATAGAATCGGAGATTGGGTTTCCTTTTTCACAATGCTCTCTAATCCTTCCTTATCCCCATCTCTCTCTTGTGGAGCCTCCTTAGAACTCCAGAAGCTCCCGCTGCTCATCCATCCCCTTTGAGCTACTTACCCTCTATCCAGCTTTTTTCTCCCTGGGCCCTCGTTTGGGAATGTAAATAGTTTGGAGAGAAAGAGAAGATATTTATTTAAAGATTTAATATATAGAGATAGATTGATAGAGACGAAAGCTTAATTTATTTTTCACTGCTGTTTGCGCGAGAGCACTTTGAAACACTCCCCGTGGGGTGACCAGGCCATCTCCCTCCGGACGGAGAAGGCGGATGGCCGGACCGGACTCATTTTCGACTCATTTTCCCCATCTGGCTTTGCTTCTGTGGGGGGCAGTGGCTACCCCTTTGATGCATGCAGCCTTTGGCACGGAAGCGGCACAAAATCTGGAATCCAGAGCATCCGCAGTGGTCCAAGACGGACTTTCATTGGACTTGCTGCAGAAGAGAAAAGCAATTACTCTTGGTTCGGCTGGGAACAGCTAGTCCAAAGCGGCATGCCTTCTTCCCAAGCGTTCGTTGTCTTCTCCAACCAGGCAGCTTCCTCATACCGCTCAAAATACTGGAGCAACCAGGTTAAGAAGCCTAGAAGGGTAGGCTTGGAAGGGTGCAACCAGCCATCTCTACGCCTTGAACCCTATGGAACTAGACCTGGATGGAGCACCTTCTTTGACGTGGGCCAACGGTGATCATGCCCAAAAGAAGGTGGAGTTGGAGATGCAGCCAAGGCCCTGCCATGCTCCTTTTGCACTGGGCCCTCTTGATCTGCATCCTGGGGAAGCTCTTTTAGGGGCTGACGCCATTGTCTCCATGTGCTTACTACTGTGGTTGGCTTTTTATTGTAATTCAGGGGGTTGTGTACTTGTATATAGGCCCCAAAATCTCCCCGCCCAGAGAATCATGTTTTGGGAGGCAGGTGATCCAAAGGACTACAAACCTAGGGTTTTTTTTTTCATGTCAGGAGCAACTTGAGAAACTGCAAATTTCTTCTGGTGTGAGAGAACTGGCCATCTGCAAGGATGTTGCCCAGGGGATGCCCTGATGTTTGATGTTTTACCATCCTTGTGGGAGGCATCTCTCATGTCTCCGAGCTGACAGAGGGAGCTCGTCCATGCTCTCCCTGTATTCGAACCTGCGACCTGTATATCAGGAGCGACTTGAGAAACTGCAAGTCATTTCTGGTTTGAGAGAATTGGCCGTCTGCAAGGACGTTGCCCAGGGGACACCAGGATGTTTTGATCTTTTTCCATCCTTGTGGGAGGCTTCTCTCATGTCCCCGCATGAGGAGCTAGAGCTGACAGAGGGAGCTCATCCGCACTCTCCTCGGATTCGAACCTGCAACCTGTGGGTCTTAAGTCCTGCTGGCACAGGGGTTTAACCCTCTGCGCCACCAGGGGCTCCTGTTGAGGCTAGCCAATCAAAAACCATATGCAAATTTCCTTTCCCCTTGCAGCCACTTGAGAATGTTGGAATGTTGTGGCTGGCCAATCAGAGACCATATGCAAATAGTACCACAGTGGTACAATGTGTCCTCTCGGTCAGCAGACCTTCTGGCACATTGCGCCACCGGGACTCCACATTGAAGGGGTGAGAAAATGGAAATATAGAATGCACAGAAAAGTATAGGCTTACTACAAGAGAGAAAACTTCAAGTACGGAGTATATTAAAACGATAAAATATTAGAACAATTGGGGAAGGCAAACTCCAGAAGGAGGGCGGCTGAAGTCTGCCTTGAACGCAGCCCTCAAGATGTTCCTGGACTGCACCTCCCATCAGTCCTCTGTAGAATATTGGGATCTAAAGTCCAGGAACATCTGGAAGGTTTGCCCCTTTCTGTAAAACAGTGGTTCCCAACCTGTGGTCCGTGGCCCACCAGTGGTCTGCAAGAATGAAAATATGTTCCATGGCCTCACCATTACTACTGTTGCCTCAAAACCACATAGCAATGAGAGCAGCTGGTCTTGCAAAACCCTCTTATAGTGCTAAGTCAACAGAGATGTCAGGAGGACAGAGGCTGACTACTCATAAAAGATTACTACTACCACATCAGCTCTAGTTATTAAATATGGTTTTCTGTGAGCAAGCAGATGGTGACTACTGGATGGCATATGTTCTGTATCAGAAACTAGAGCTGATGTGATCTATCCAATGCAGTTTTCTGAATCAGCATCCCAAATAACCAAACTGAATCTAAAGTTGATCAAAAAACTGATTTATAACACTAATGTTGGAGAGTGGTCCATGGTAAAAAAAAAAAAAGTTGGGAACCACAGCTGTAAAGCAAATAGGAGCCAGATCCTCACACTCCCTGAAGGCAAACTATGCATCCCCTGTGGCCTCGGCCCCTTTCATTTGGCCTCATTCTTCCTCCATTTGTGAGGTTTGCCAATGAAGCAGTGTAAAGACTCGGGAGCCAGGTGGGGAAGTGGCGTTTCACAGAAGATCCCGTTCTCTGTGCATATCTGACCCTTTCCTGCTAATGTAAAGGCCCTCGTTCTGACTGGCTTTCCTCCAACTCTTCTTCCCAAATTCTTTGTAATTCGTCTTCCCTCCAGCAATCGTGACCCCCTTTTATGTGACAGGTGCATAAAAGGGAGGTGTGAGGAGGGGAAGCAAGGACTCCTTGCCTGTTGGGTAGCCGTTTAGCCAGTAAACACGGTCTTTCTACCCACAGAACATGCTAAACCAGCGTTTCTCAACCCTGGGGGGTTGTGATGGGGTTTCAGAAGGGTCGCCAAAGACCAGAAAACACACATTTCTGATGGTGTTAGGAACCCCTTTGGCAGAGAAGGCAGAAGATCTCTCTGCCTGTATTTCTCTTCCTTTTTAGATACAGACATGAATCCTCCTACCATAAGCCCTTCTCCTGTTGTGATTGACTGGCCTCGCAGCCAAGGGGAGGGCTGTTTCTGACTCCAAGCGGAGAGGGGAGAGCAGGCATGCTCGGTGCATGCACAGGTGAGGGAGAGCACATGAGGCTGGAGGGAGGCTCACAAGTCCCTTCAAAACAGAGGGGAAAGTGCCTGTTGGATGTGGGACTGAGATTGGCACAGAAGCATTAGGAGGAGGAGGAGGAGCAGAAGCAGCTTAAGTAATTTGTACTGCTATTTATTAGGAAAAACTCAGTTTTTCCTTTAGCTTTTTATTAATGCTCTCATAGAAAATGCATAAGGATGTCAGTGAACTACGACTCCCAAAATCGTGGGTCAATCCTCCCCAAACCCCACGAGCATTCAAAATCTGCCACTTTGGGTCTGTGTACCAAGTTTGGTCCAGATCCAATGCTTTGATTGTAGGTGAACTATAAATCCCAGCAACTACAACTCCCAAATGTCAAAGTCTATTTTTTCCAAACTCCACCAGTGTTCACATTTGGGCATATTGAGTATTGATTCCGATTTAGGTCCTGATCCATCATTATTTGAGTCCACAGTGCTCTCTGGATGTGAGTGAACTAAAACTCCCAAAATTGTGGGTCAATCCTCCCCAAACCCCACAAGTATTCAAAATCTGCCACGTTGGGTCTGTGTACCAAGTTTGGTTCAGTTCCAGTGCTTTGATTGTAGGTGAACTATAAATCCCAGCAACTACAACTCCCAAATGTCAAAGTCTATTTTTACCAAACTCCACCAGTGTTCACATTTGGGCATATTGAGTATTCATTCCGAGTTGGGTCCTGATCCATCATTGTTTGATTCCACAGTGCTCTCTGGATGTGAGTGAACTAAAACTCCCAAAATTGTGGGTCACTCCCCCCCAAACCGTACAAGCATTCAAAATCCGCCACGTTGGGTCTGTGTACCAAGTTTGGTTCAGTTCCAGTGTTTTGATTGTAGGTGAACTATAAATCCCAGCAACTACAACTCCCAAAATCATGGGTCAGTCCTCCCCAAACCTCACGAGAATTCAAAATCCGCCACGTTGGGTCTGTGTACCAAGTTCGGTCCAGATTCAGCACTTTGAATGTAGGTGAACTATAAATCCCAGCAACTACAACTCCCAAATGTCAAAGTCTATTTTTCCCAAAATCCACCAGTGTTCACATTTGGACATATTGAGTATTCATGCTTAATTTGGTCCAGGTCCATCATTGTTTGAGTCCACAGTGCTCTCTGGATGTAGGCGAACGACAACTCCAAAACTCAAGGTCAATACCCACCAAACTCTTCTGTTTGTCATGAGAGTTCTGTGTGCTAAGTTTAGTTCAATTCCATCGTTGGTGGAGTTCAGAATGCTCTTTGATTGTAGGTGAAACGTAAATTCCAGCAACTACAATTCCCAAATGAAAAAATCAATCCCCCACTAACCCCACCAGTATTCAAATTGGGGGGTATCAGGCATTTGCCAAATTTGGTCCAGTGAATGAAAACACATCTTGCATATCAGATATTTAAATTACGATTCATATCAGTAGCAAAATTCCAGTTATGAAGTAGCAACGAAAAGAATGTTATGTTTGGGGGTCACCACAACATGAGGAATTGTATTAAGGGGTCACAGAATTAGGAAGGTTGAGAAACACCGCACTAAACCCATTATGTGTGACTCCATCTGTTGCCTGATGTTTGGGCAGCCAGGCGGGGGGAGAGATTCAAGGAGCAATCCTTTGGGATCTGGGTGGGGGGCRAGTATGGTGGAAAAGAAATGTCACGATTCCGGAAATGGGGTGCTGACGACTCGCCCACAACAAGACCCATTGAAACCTTAACTTGCAGAATGCAAATGCTGCAATGAAATAATAAACCTAAAGTCAGATTGRATCACTAAACAACTGAGTCTCTTTGCCTCTTTTCTCCATCCGGAAGGGCATTATTGGATAGGATCCCATGGAGGGCCAYTGTGTGGGGTCCCCCGCCCTGTTGCTCTCCTGCACCCCAGTTATGACAACAAGGAGCACTTATATTTTATTTTATTGACAGCTTTCCCGCGACTCCAAACAATTTCTCATCTAAAACATTAAATGTTTGCTTTTCTTTTTATTTTCTTCTCYTCCCCTCCCTCCCTCCCTCTCTCTTTTTTAAAAAATTATAAAAAGGAACAGAAATAATATACAGGCCTCAGAGGCTAAGAGCAGACAGACATCTATTTACAAGGGTATGTACACTCTGGCTCCTCTTCTTTGCGCAGAATTAGCTCTTCAGTGCTTCCTCCAGCTCCATCATGTCCATCGGGGCCATCTTGGCCACCTCAAAGAAGACCCTGTAAAGAAAGGCAAGGAGGAAAAAGAGTTGGCACAAGCAAAGCAGGTCCCTGGTTGGGATCCAAGATGGAAGGGAAGGGGCTTTGGCACACTCTCGGGCACACAGAATTTGCTTTCGAATCCTGGAATCAGAGCTCTAAGGACTATTTAGTCCAGCGTTTCTCAACCTGGGGGTCGGGACCCCTGAAGGGGTCAGGAAGGGGGTGTCAGAGGGGTCGCCAAAGACCATCAGAAAACACAGTATTTTCTGTTGGTGATGGGGGTTCTGTGTTGGAAGTTTGGCCCAATTCTATCCTTGGTGAAGTTCAGAATGCTCTTTGATTATAAGTGAACTATAAATCCCAGATCGATCATTGTTTGAGTCCACTCTCTGGATGTAGGTGAACTACAACTCCAAAACACAAGGTCAATGCCCACCAAAACCCTTTCGGTATTTTTTCTTGGTCATGGGGGTTCCGTGTGGGATTTTGGGCCAATTCTATCGTTGCTGGAGTTCAGAATGCTTTTTGATTGTAGGTTAACTATAAACCCCAGCACCTACAACTCCCAAAAGCCAAAATCAATCCCCTCCAACCCCACCAGTATTCAGATTTGGGCGTATGGGGTATTTGTGCCAAATTTGGTCCAGTGAATGAAAATACATTCTGCAGAATAAAGAAGGGGAGCCGGGAGGACATTGCCAACTTGACCCCTGTGACATCAGCGCCCCTCCCCTAGCAATAATGTAGTATTATGTAGTACTAGTGTTATGAATGATGTAATAGTACTATGCTAGTTATGTATTATGTAGTATGTTGTATGTACTTATGACTTGTAAACCGCTCTGAGTCCCCTTCGGGGTGAGAAGGGCGGCATATAAATGTCGTAAATAAATAAATAAATAAATAAATATCAGATATTTACATTACAATTACAGTTATGAAATAGCAACGAAAATAGTTTTAAGGTTGGGGGTCACCACAACATGAGGAACTGTATTAAGGGGTCACGGCATTAGGAAGGTTGAGAAACACTGATTTAGTCCATCCAGTGGAGGAAGCTCACCACTGAAAGAAAGAATCATAGAGTTGGAAGAGACCTTTGATTGTAGGTGAACTATAAATCCCATCAACTACAACACCCAAATGTCAAGGTCTATTTTTCCCAAACTCCACCAGTGTTGACATTTGGGTATATTGAGTATTCGTGCCAAATTTGGTCCAGAACCATCATTGTTTGAGTCCTCAGTGCTCTTTGGATGTAGGTGAACTGCAACTCCAAAACTCAAGGTCAATGCCCACCAAACCTTTCCAGCATTTTCTGTTGGTCATGGGAGTTCTGTGTGCCAGGTTTGGTTCAATTCAATCGTTGCTAGAGTTCAGAATGCTTTTTGATTGTAGGTGAACTATAAATCCCAGCAACTACAACTCCCAAATGACAAAATCAATCCTCTTCCCAACCCTACCAATATTCAAATTTGGGTGTATCGGGTATTTGTGCCAAATGAATGTATGAATGGAAATACATCCTGTATATCAGATATTTACATTATGATTCATAACAGTAGCAAAATTAAAGTTATGGAGAAACAACGAAAATAATGTTACGGTTGGGGGTCACTACAACATGAGGAACTGTATTAAGGGATCAAGGCGTTAGGAAGGTTGAGAAACACTGCCTTAAGGGCTTAACACAGCTCCAGTACTTCTGCCTCTTCTGTATTTTCTAAAGCTTCCCCTTGGCACAGAAGGAAGGGAGCATCCAGTGGCCTACACCTCAGAAAAGGACAGTGCGCATGCATGCTATCCCACGCCACATGCACTCATGCACCAGGCCTCACCGGTGAGAGTACTTGCTCCGGACGGCCTTGAGCCTTTGGTCGTGACTGTAGGTCAGCATGAAATTCACCCTCTTGACCAGTAAGCGCAGATCCTCCACTTTGTAGCCGCTGTAATATTCTAGTGTTGGGCTCTGCAACAGAGGAGAAAGATGGTGACTATCTCTTAACCCCAACTAGAGGTGGCCATTCAATGGTAAGAGCTCCCTGGGATTGACACCTGAGGTATTGGATGCAGCTCAAAGAGGGTTATGGGATGGAGCCCAGAGTCCAGGTACTCACCCAGCCGCCCAGCTTCTTCATCCTGAGGGCCAGCAGAAGGCAGCTGGCGGCCAAGCAGGATGCTCTCTCCTGGACGAAGTTGTAGTCCTGCAACGTCAGTTCGCAGAGGAAGCGGGCCAGGGTCAGCGTCTCCATGGAGGCATGAACGCACTGCAAAAAGAGGGAGGGAAGGAAGAAAATAAGGAAGGGGGCACAGAGATCAGCTGAGGAGAGGGTCTGGCGGCACCCCTCACTCTTGTTGCATAACACTACATAACACAATTTTTGTTCCTGGGTTACAAATGTCATTTACTAATTGTTTCTATCACAAAAACATGAAAAAAGGTTGATTAAACTGCAAAAACTTGTTTTGGTGAGAGGCACATCCCTGCAGCACATTTTGCTCTAGTTTTTCAATGAATCTCCCATAGAGTCACAACCAATTCAACATACCATATATACTCAAATATAAGCGGGGCATATACTCAATGTTATTTAATATTTTACTGTTGTTGTTGTTGTTGTTGTTGTTATTATTATTATTATTATTATTATTACACTTATTATTTTACTCAATTTATTATTATTATATTTACATTATTTTACTCTATTACTGTTATTACATTTACATTATTTTACTCTACTATTATCATTTTATTAAATTTACTCTATTATTACATTTATTATTTTACTTTATCATTAGTTATTACATTTATTATTTTACTCTATTATTATTATTATTATTATTATTATTATTATTACATTTATTATTTTTATTCCAGTCCTGTTGTTTCACCTATTATTTATTTACTATATTTGTATACCGCTCTTCTCAGCCCTTGGGCGACTCAGAGCGGTTAACAACAGCAAAATTCAATGCTCAAAAGCATCATAAAACAATTAAAACAGTAGCATACAGTTAATATAAATTAATAAAACATCTCATTCATGACTCATAGTTAAGATCGAAATTTAGTCTCATCTTCCAATTGTTCCATATTCCTATATTCGTTACACTGCCTATTTAAATGCCTGCTCGAACAACCAGGTCTTCACTTTCCTCCGAAATGTCAACAGGGAGGGGGCCGATCTAATATCTGTAGTAAGGGTTTTCCACAGTCAAGGGGCCACCACTGAGAAGGCCCTGTTTCTTGTCCCTGCCAAACGTATTTGTGACGCAGGCAGGACTGAGAGCAGGGCCTCCCCAGACGATCTTAACACCCTAGCTGGTTCATAGGAGGAGATGCGTTCGGACAGGTAAGTTGGGCCAGAACCATTTAGGGCCTACACTGTTTCCCTCATATTGCACTTTCCCCCACCTTATTAATTCCACTGTTCAGTCCCCTATGAACTCCTCTCCCACAAATGTACCTTTTCATTACTATCTCATCCAGTGTTTTATCATTTTATGTCATGCATTTGGCCCGCCCACTGTGTTTTATTTTCCATTACTTGATTGGTTTCTTTATTTTACTGAGATGATATTTTGTTGTTTATATTTTATGTTGTTGTAATGCATCGCTGGCCTCATGTAAGCTGCTCCGAGTCCCCTTTGGATAGATGGTGGCAGGATATAAATAAAGTTTATTATTATTATTATTATTATTATTATTATTATTATTTTACGCTCATTATCATTATTGGAAGGATACATCAACACATTTACACTGAAGGTTAGAATAATGGTTTAATCAGAGTTGGACAGTCTTATCTTAAATTACAGTTTAATGTAAATATTCAAAAACATTGACTCTCCTGATGCTTCAATTAATGTAATTTTATTAGCATCTATTTTTATTTTGGAATTTACCAGTAGCTGCTGCATTTCCCACCCTTGGCTTATACTCAAGTCAATATATTTTCCTGTTTTTTTGTAGTAGAATCATAGAATCAAAGAGTTGGAAGAGACCTCATGGGCCATCCAGTCCAACCCCCTGCCAAGAAGCAGGAATATTGCATTCAAATCACCCCTGACAGATGGCCAGTCAGCCTCTGTTTAAAAGCTTCCAAAGGAGCCTCCACCACACTCCGGGGCAGAGAGTTCCACTGCTGAACGGCTCTCACAGTCAGGAAGTTCTTCCTCATGTTCAGATGGAATCTCCTTTCTTGTAGTTTGAAGCCATTGTTCCAGTGCGTCCTAGTCTCCAGGGAAGCAGAAAACAAGCTTGCTCCCTCCTCCCTGTGGCTTCCTCTCACATATTTATACATGGCTATCATATCTCCTCTCAGCCTTCTCTTCTTCAGGCTAAACATGCCCAGCTCCTTAAGCCACTCCTCATAGGGCTTGTTCTCCAGACCCTTGATCATTTTAGTCGCCCTCCTCTGGACACATTCCAGCTTGTCAATATCTCTCTTGAATTGTGGTGCCCAGAATTGGACACAATATTCCAGGTGTGGTCTAACCAAAGCAGAATAGAGGGGTAGCATGACTTCCCTAGATCTAGACACTATGCTCCTATTGATGCAGGCCAAAATCCCATTGGCTTTTTTTGCCGCCACATCACATTGTTGGCTCATGTTTAACTTGTTGTCCACGAGGACTCCAAGATCTTTTTCACACGTACTGCTCTCAAGCCAGGCATTGTCCCCCATTCTGTATCTTTGCATTTTGTTTTTTCTGCCTAAGTGGAGTATCTTGCATTTGTCACTGTTGAACTTCATTTTGTTAGTTTTGGCCCATCTCTCTAATCTGTCAAGATCGTTTTGAATCCTGCTCCTGTCCTCTGGAGTATTGGCTATCCCTCCCAATTTGGTGTCGTCTGCAAACTTGATGATTCTAGTAGTAGAATTAGGTGCCTCAGATTATATTCAGGTTGGCTTATACTCAAGTATATATGGTAAATTATTTTCCCCTTTTCTTCAATATTGTTTTGCCAAAAGGCTGTCACCTTTGGACATTCCCATCAAATATTAGCATACCATCCTTTGTTTAAACCACAACGCCAGCACATTGGACTCATCCCTCCCACCACAGTGCTGCCGGTTCTGATGGGCTTATCCTCAAGTATATATGGTAGTTTGTGGCAGCCACAAAAATGAGGTTTCTGGAGGACAACTCACCTTGGCAAAGCGCCGGAGGAAGCGGTATGCAATGGGGATGTTGATGTCGAACTGCAGCGTCTGCAGGATGCTCACCTCCGTGGTCAAAAGTTCTTCCCTCTTGTATGCATCGTCGCAAATATAGAGGAAGTCATCCACGCAGGGAGGACAGCGCTCCTGCAGAGACCAACCGCGGAAGAGGGAGAGGTCAGTGGCTGCAAAAAGGGTCCAAATGGTCTGACCCTTTGGGGTTCCAATCCCCCCCAACTTCACCCATGACACAGTGAACAAGTTCACTAGGTTTTGTTGTGTCTCTGCCATCCCAGCACCGTGTCTCTCCCAAGGTTTAATTAGGAACAGCATGAACTCAAAATTAAAACATGCTGGTGGCAATTTGTCCCTGGCCCTTTCGTGCTTCCCCCCGCAAAAGAACCTCTCTGAAATCAGAATGTCATTCGGTCAAAACGTTGTTTTGATTGGGTCACTGTGAGTTTTCCAGGCTGTCTGACGTTTCGCCCACATCTCTGGAAGGCATCCTCAGAGGTTGTGAGGGATATAGGAAACTAAACAAGGGAGGTTTATATATCTGTGGAAGGTCCAGGGTGGGAGGAAGAACCTTCAACATTTGGAGCAATGGAGAAGAACTCAACAAGTTCCTAAACCACCTCAACAGCATCCACACCAACATCCAATTCACCACGGAAAAGGAAAATGAAGGAAAACTGCCATTTCTGGATGTCCTAGGTAAAGGTAAAGGTTTTCCCCTGACATGAAGTCCAGTCGTGTCCGACTCTGGGGTGTGGTGCTCATCTCCATTTCTAAGCCTAAGAGCCAGTGTTGTCCGTAGACTTTAAGATCATGTGGCCAGCATGACTGCATGGAGCACTGTTACCTTCCCACCAGAGCGTGACCTATTTATCAACTCACATTAGCATGTTTTTGAACTGCCAGGTTGGCAGAAGCTGGGGCTGACAGCAGAAGCTCCCCGGATTTGAACCTGTGACCTTTCAGTCAACAAGCTCAGCAGCACAGCGCTTTAACCCACTATGCCACCAGGGGCTCCCATTACATGTAATATAAATATATAATTATAATGTATTATTATTATTAGTATTATATTGCATTACATTATATTATAAATATAAATATAGACTCCAAGGTCATGTGGCCAGCATGACTGCATGGAGCACTGTTACCTTTCCGCCAGAGTGGTACCTATTTATCTACTCACATTAGCATGTTTTCGAACTGCTAGGTTGGCAGAAGCTGGGCTGACAGCAGGAGCTCACACTGCTCCCTGGATTCGAATCTGCGACCTTTCAGTCAACAAGTTCAGCAGCCCAGTGCTTTAACCCACGGTGCCAATCAACAATCGGGCCACACAGTTTACAGAAAACCTCCACACATGATAGATAACTACATAAAACCTCCAATCATCACCCAAGTCTTTGATTATGGGTGAACTATAAATCCCAGCAACTATAACTTTCAAATGACAAAAAACAATCCCCCCCCTCCCCCAATTCCACCGGTATTCAAATTTGGGCATATGGGGTATTTGTGCCAAATTTGGTCCAGTGAATGAAAATACATCCTGCATACCAGATATTTACATTACTATTCATAACAGTAGCCAAATTACAGATATGAAGTAGCAACGAAAATAATGTTATGGTTGGGGGTCACCACAACATGAGGCACTGTATTAAGGGGTCGTGACACTAGGAAGGCTGAGAAACACTGGTTTACAGTGCTGCCATTAATTTTGTATGGCTTTCTTAGGCCAAAAAGATGTTTTTGCAGTTCCTTCCTCTGAAATATCACCTAAAGCACCTGCCGGTCTCCCATCCAAGTCCTAACCCTGGTTGACTCTGGTTAGTAGTTTCATTACAGCCACTTAAAAGTCAGTTGAGCACTTGGAATCATAGAGTTGGAAGAGACCTCATGGGCCATCCAGTCAAACCCCCTATGAAGAAGCTGGAAAATTGTATTCAAAGCAACCCCAACAGATGGCCATCCAGCCTCTGTTTAAAAGCCTCCACAGAAGGAGCCTCCACCACACTCCGGGGCAGAGAGTTCCACTGCTGAACGGCTCTCACAGTCAGGAAGTTCTTCCTCATGTTCAGATGGAATCTCCTTTCTCGTAGTTTGAAGCAATTGTTCCGTGTCCTAGTCTCCAGGGAAACAGAAAACAAGTTTGCTCCCTCCTCCCTATGACTTCCTCTCACACATTTATACATGGCTCTCATCATGTCTCCTTTCAGCCTTCTCTTCTTCCAGCTAAACATGCCCAGCTCTTTAAGCCGCTCCTCATAGGGCTTGTTCTCCAGACCCTTGATCATTTTTGTTGCCCTCCTCTGGACATGTTCCAGCTTGTCAATATCTCTCTTCAATTGTACAGTTTAAGCATATGAAGAAGAGAGGCAGGCAAAGAGACCGAGAGGAATGAAGACAGAAGAGATGTATGTGAATGATATTATGGTTGGGCCATCACAACATGAGGAACTGGATTAAGGAGTCGCGACATCAGGAAGGTTGAGAACCACTGCCTTAAAAGACGATGCTCCTCTATTGGCAAAAAGAACCAGGTCATGCAAACCCGTGGTACAGAACCCCAGTTAAATGAGGGAGGAAAACACAGCAAGCCCCAGAATCCCCCACCATGGCCCATGAGCAAGTCTAAGGGTGGGAAGGAGGGCTTGGCTCTCACCTCAAACTTGGAAGCGATAAGGATGGTGGTGGAGCCAATGAGCTGAAGCTGGTCCCGCATGACAGGTACTTTCACTAGGTAGTGATCCATCAGCTTGATGGCCAGGTAAAGCGTCTCGTGGGTGAGCTCAAAGTTCTCCTGCAGGAGGGACCGTGGCAAAGAAGAGCTGTTGTTGTCAGACTCTTGGATGTCATTTGGAATCGCAATGCAGCAATACACTCTCCTATAAAGGCCCTGGGAAGCTACTGGAGCACTTCAGTTCCAGCAGAAGCGTGAGGCAATGGTGAAAGATCCCATCATTTTATTTTATTTATTGATTTATTTAAAACATTTATATTCCGCCCTTCTCATCCCGAAGGTGACTCAGGGCGGAGCACAGCATATACACGGCAAACATTCAATGCCGGGACACAAATTCACATGCAATACATAAACATTAAAAAACATTTATCAAAATATTAAAATACACCATTTCAAATCGTCCTAGTCATCCACGTCAAATCATCTTTCCTATTGCCGCTTTATTGCCCTGTCCCGAAAGCTTGGTCCCACAGCCAAGTTTTTACCATCCTTCTAAAGGACAGGAAAGAGGGGGCTGATCTGATCTCACCAGGAAGGAAGTTCCATAACTGGGGAGCAATCACCGAGAAGGCCCTGTCTCTCGTCCCTACCAATCGTGCCTGTGACAATGGCGGGACAGAAAGCAGGGCCTCCCTGGAGGATCTTAATCTCCATGATGGTTCATGATGGTCCATGAGATGTGTTCGGACAGGTAATTTAGCCCAGGGCCGTTTAAGGCTTTATAGGCCAAAGCCAGCACTTTGACTTGTGCCTGGTAATAATAATATAATAATAATAAACTTTATTTATACCCCGCTACCATCTCCCCAAGGGACTCGGTGCGGCTTACATGAGGCCGAGCCCACAATACATCAATACAAGTAATAACAACAATACAAGCAATTAAAATAAATCACATACACAAATAGCATAAACATTAACAATAGCACAACATACCTTTAAAATCTGTGGCTAGGCCAAATGTCATCGAAATTTAAAAATAATGCTGGACATGGACAAGATAAGGAAGTGGGGCGTTAGTGGAGAGATACAAGCAAACTGTCAGCCAGTGGGGCTGGTGTAACATGGGAGTTGTATGTTCCCTGTATGCAGCCCCAGTTATTAACCTGGGTGGCTCTCGTTGGACTATTTGAAGCTTCTGAGCAGTCTTCAAAGCCAACCCCACGTAGAGTGCATTGCAGTAGCCTATCCTAGATGTAACGAGTGCGTGGACCACCGTGGCTAAGTCTGATTTCCTAAGGTACGGGCGCAGCTGGCGCACAAGTTTTAATTGTGCGAAAGCTCCCCTGGCCACCGCTGCAACCTGGGATTCCAGACTCAGTGATGAATCCAGGAGGACCCCCAAGCTGCAAACCTGTGCCTTCAGGGGAAGTATGACCCCATCCAGCACAGGTTGTGACCCTATGCCCTGTTCAGCCTTGCGACTGACCAGAAGGACCTCTGTCTTGTCTGGATTCAACTTCAATTTGCTTGCCCTCATCCAGACCGTCACAGCGGCCAGGCACTGGTTCAGGACCTGGAGACCCTCCTTAGCATCTGGTGAAAATGAGTGATAGAGTTGGACATCATTAGCGTACAGATGGCATTGAACACCAAAACCCAGGAGGGTAAGGGATCTTGCATCATTTGGCCCCGGAGAAGCCAGCTTGCTAAGCCATGGGTTCGCAAACACTGCCAGGAAGGATGAGTGGGACCTACCTGCACCTCCACCATCCAGTCCACCAAGATGGCCCTCATGTCGGTGGTGATATCCGGCTGGTCCTTCATGTAGTCCGGAAGCAGGAACTTCTCCTGCAAGAAGAAGATGGTGCAAAATGGCACAATGAGGAAGTGGTGCTCCCAATGCCCATAGGGCAAGGGGAGGTGTCACCCAGGAGGGCAACAACCCAGGCCCTTGCAGGGAAGCAACAAAAAGGTATGCAAGGATTAGTTGTTTTTGGAGATCCAGGTTGCCCCAGTCATCCTTGGAATTCATCTGCTCCCCAAAGCAGGGTTTTGGAAAGTAAACAAGAGCTAGCAACACAGAAATCTGAGAAATGGGAGGCAGGCGGGAAGACACAACACCCTCCCTCCTCCTTTTCAAAATAGAAAATGTGAATCTTGGAAATAATTATGAAATACTAGACGTCCCATGCCATGCGTTGCTGTGGCCAGTCTGTATATGTGCTTTGTGTCTGTATATATGTGTTTGTATGTGTGTATATATTTGTGTATCTGTGTATATATGTGTATTTCTCTCTCTCTCTCTCTCTCTCTCTCTCTCTATATATATATATATATATGGGTATATATATGTGTGTGCATGTGTGTATATATTTGTGTGTTTATATGTGTATATGTATATTGTGTACATGTGTGTGCTTGTCTATATGCATATTTGTCTGTATATATGTGTGTATGTATGTGTGCATGTGTACATTTGTGTGTTCATGTGTATATGTATATGTGTGTGTGTATATATATGTATTTGTGCGTATATTTGTGTGTGCTTGGGTATATAAATATATGTGTTTGTGTGTGTGTATGAGTATATGTTTATATGTATATATGGTGTATTTTGGGGGGGGTTTAAGTCCGTTCTGCTGGAGTTTTTTGTGTTTTTAGGGGTGATGAACACTCGTTGGACTGTTAGGTGTATTGTGTCAAAATTTCGTGTAAATTCATCCAATAGTTGCTGAGTTATGTTAATCCCACAAACGAACATACGTTTTTATTTATATAAGATTCTTCTTTAGAAGAATGAGCACTTCAGCCTAAGCCAGTATAGATTTTGGGAATGGGAGGCCCAACAGAACCCAGAAAGCCAAGAAGTCAGAATCGCAGGCCTTCAGCATCAAAGGAAGACCTTAGTTGGTATTCAAGGCTGGGATTTCTGTCAGAAATATTAAAAATTTACTAGGTATTTTTAATTACAAAAATGTGAGGCAAGCACTGAAAGGGTTAAATGGATGCAATGACTCAGCAAAAGCTGCATTTCAATATAAGCAGGTGTGCCTGTAGCTTAGTAGCCCTCAGTGTGTGAGAGGGGCCTCAGTGTGTTAGTAGAATGAGAATGCCTGTGTTAGTTCGCTTCAGTCTGAGAGAGCCCTCAGTGTGAGAAGGTCTCAGTAGGAGAAATGCCTCAGTGTGAGATAGGCCTCAATTTGGGAAGGCCTGGTGTGAGAAGCTTCAGTGAGAAGAAGTCCAAGAGAGCCCTCAGTGTGAGTCTGAGAGAGCCCTCAGTGTGAGAAGGTCTCAGTGTGAGAAGCTTCAGTGAGAAGAGGTCTCAGGTTGAAGGCCTCATGTGGAAAGCTCTGTGTGAAGCTCCAGTGTGAAGGCTGCTGTGTGTATAAAACTACTGTGTGAAGCTCCTGTGTAACTTCAGTGTGAGAGGAGGCTCTGTGAGAGTGAAGCTGTTTATGTGCATGAGAAAGAAGCCCAGCGTGGAAGCAAAGAAGGAAGTATAAAGAACTTTGTGTTATGGAAACCTTGTTTTTGTAAATAGTGCAAGCATATAATTTTGCTATAAGTAAAAGCGTCCTATGGAAGAGATAACATTGGTTTGTGTGTTTTTGTTCTGTTTATCAGTTTGGGCTATTGGTGCTGGGTCACACTGCTGTTAATAAGTTTCTCTGCTGTACATTTATGAGGAGGGTCTTTTGTTATTAAGCCCATTTATCCAACAATTTCTAGCTCTCTGGAGCCTTTCTGAGCATGACTTGTGCTGATGGTTTGCTCAAGGCCTTCCCCTGGATTTAGAATGGTGTTTCTTAGGTAGTGTGAGCAAAGCTACCTCTCGTTCCCGCATGTGGACAAAGATATCCTTGGCATATTCGGCGTTTGCATAGGGGTCGTCCAGCTGTGCCTTGTCGATGTCCTCAACAGGGGCCACCTGCAAAGGATTGTTGAAATTAGAGAAGGTAGTGGCCTCAGCGATGAGACTGAAGACGCAAGGCCATGGCAGATGACCCAAAGAAGGGTGGGCCGGGCCAAAAGTGAGGGCATGGACGTAATGGGATGCCTGACGACCAAGTGTTTGCAAGGAAGGGGCAAACATGGCTACCATCCCCACCACATCCGGCTCTTCAGCATTATGCAGAAAAGAGGGAAGATCCCTCCATCGCTTTGAGTCTCTTTGTGGGAAAAGTGGGATATAAATAAACGTAATAAGAAATAATACCGGTTCCACTGGCTCTTCCGCCGTCCGACAGGGTTCTTCCGTCTCCACCGGATCCTTCTTGGGCACAGGATCTGACTTAACCACTGGCGCCTCCTCAGAAGGAACTCTGTTCTGGGACCTGGAGGAGGCAGGAGCAGGTTGAGGGATGGAGGACACACAAGGAGGACACGTGCATCTGCACATGCTGGGTTATTCACTTCCTCTCCAAGGCATCAAAACGTCTCAAGTTTTATGCATTGTCGAAGGCTTTCATGGCCAGAATCACTGGGTTGTTGTAGGTTTTTTCGGGCTATATGGCCATGTTCTAGAGGCATTCTCTCCTGACGTTTCGCCTGCATCTATGGCAAGCATCCTCAGAGGTAGTGAGATCTGTTGGAACTAGGAAAAACGGTTTATATATCCGTGGAATGACAGACAAGAGTCCCTTGTCCCACCCTAGTCATTCCACAGATATATAAACCCAATTTCCTAGTTCCAATAGACCTCATTACCTCTGAGATGCAGGTGAAACATCAAGAGAAAATGCTTCTAGAACATAGCCATATAGCCCGAAAAAAACCTACAACAACCTAGTCTCTAGTTTTGATACGCAATATGTATTCTGTGTGTTTTTGTCTTACCATTAATGTTTATTTATTTATGACATTTATATGCTGCCCTTCAGAGCGGCTTACAAGGTATATATTACATACAATATATTGTATTATTAGCATAGTATAATAATAATGCATATAGTAATAATAATAATATGATAATATAATTATATATTTATATTACATGTAATATTACTAATAATATTACGATATAGTGGTATGGAGCAATATAGCAATGTACTYAAT